GACACGAATTCCATTTCTGTATACTCCACTGGAAAACCAAAATGTTTCCACACAGATGACTTAAATGTGTCTGGGGGATCTGCAATCTCAGTACTATGTTAAGCAGCCATCCTGCCTACACGAGTGTGAGGCTCACTCAAGTCACATGACATGCACTAAAATACTAACTTTATAATATATAACATTTAGAACAAAACCTCATCATTACTAAAACTATTTAATCAAATGTGATAATAAAGATGCATTTAAATTGGTTCAATTAGTTAGAGACAAGTGACGTCAACCTCAACAATGGGCAGCAGGGGGTGTGAGAGTACCACGGTACGCCACAAGAGTTTCGCGATAAGTATCGTGGTTGGTGTATCGCGATGTTTCGGTTCGGTTTAATAACGTTACACTCCTAATATATATATATATATATATATATATATATATATATATATATATATATATATATATATATATATATACATATTTAAATGTAGCTACAGACTGTTACTAAAAGAATAGGGAACAAAGAAGAAGACATCAGCATGCAAATTGAGGCAAAGTTATGTTCAGCATCACTAGTGTACTCAGCATTGAACTCCATAGTTTTATAAATGGATTTTTCTAATGGTTGTATTGTAATAAATGTGTTAAAATATTGCACTTAAAAAAAGTAGAATGAATTAGTAAATAAGATTGAAGTATTTTTTCTACTCATAAATTTTAGAAAATAAATTAGGGAATTACCCATGGCAGCTTTAATGTAATACAGTTTGTTATATTTACTTTAAGCCCACAGCTCTCAATCCAGCTTGGACCTTCATAAGAAACAGTTTGGGCACCCCTGGTATATATAATTTGAAGTACCCATATGAGTTAAAGTTATTTAATTGAATTAATGTTATTCTGAGATAACCAATGTTTTGTGTCTAAATTGCATGTTTTGTGGTATCCATGTAATAAGTGGGATCATGTAAATCAAGGTGGCTTCACAGAATAAAGCCCTTCTTTCTGGTTTACCAATCAGAACCAAGTATTCCAGAGAGCCATGTAGTAAAAATCATTTTGCAACCTCAAAGCAGGCCTGTGTTTGATGGTTTATCAGTTACTGTTTCAATGGGAAGAAAATTAATGGAGTTTTCAGCTTAGAAACCTGACTTTTGTTCTCCTTTATTAATTAGAAGCATTGAACCTCATGTAGCACCTTAAAGCAAGGGTCACCAATCTCGGTTCACTGATTTCCATTGACAAGTATTCCTATAACATGCCTTTATTTTGCATATCTTCTCAACAGAAGAAAAAAAAAGTATTTGGTTTTGGAAAGACTTGAGGGTGAGTAAATGACAACGTTTTCCTTTTGGGATCCATTTAATGAATTAGCCTGCTATTCTCAGGCAGTAAACTCATTTAGTATACTGTACTTAAGCATTTTGCAGGAGACCAAAGAAAAAGAAAATCTAAGCAAACACAACCCTTTTATAGTCAATTTATTCAGGATCCATTACATACTGTACGATTCACCAAGGGTACAAGCCAAAGGACTGAGAATGTTAAAGTTACTATGGAGATATTTTTTCTTACCCTTTGACACCATTATTCATTATTATTATTTTTGTGAGCACTGGCCCTCAAGAAACAGTGCAGTAATATCATACCAACATACACTCAAATGCACAGACTCACACAGAAGCATTCTGATGTAGATTTAAGAGCGCTCTAGTAGCAAAGAAGACACATTCAAACTCACATTTTACCAAGACTAAAACAAGATTGTGAGGGGTGTTATTCCACTGCATCATTTTCACTATACTATATTTCAGTTCGCATGCAGTGAAACATACATAAGACAAGTGACACATGGCAATAAATTAGCATATAATTTACAAATGAAAAAAATTAGTAACAGTGTACCAACATTACTAATACTGAATTTAAAATGTAAGCAACTATTTACAAAAATGCAAAACTCTCTTCTATAGGTACATGTTAAACGATGTCACATTCAAAGACACAGTTCACAGCGATCAGTACCAGTTTCATTGAGTGTCTTAATGAGAGTCCGTGTCCCAAAGCCAGTAAACTTGTACTTCAAGCCTTAGGATTTTACAAAGTACAATATCAGGATGCTCAGCATGACGGTTTTGCCGTTCATTGTTCACTGTCGAATAATCCCAGTTTTAACATATAATAACAATACATAACCCTTTAATGTTGTATTTGTGGCCACAAATGAGTAGCAGCAGCAAAAGTAGAATGGTTGAATGAATAAACACATAAAACGGTCCCACAATCCCTCAACATTTCATTTATCTATTGTGTCTCATTACAAAAAGTAACATTTATTTTTGAGGGATGCTCAATCATTTGATGTTCCCTTGGCTAAGAGAGCCTGAAAAAGTCATGGATGGCATGGCAAAATGCAGTACTGTATGTAGTTGGTGGAATGTTTACATACACACTTAAACCAGTGTGAGGTAAAAGGACAGAAAGAAAAGATATTAAAATAAGCTCTGTTCCAAAACATAGCAAACTGCTTTTCTGTCTATGGCATACACAGCCTCTTCTCTGGGTTTTACCGGGAATGGTCTAAAAAAGAACTTAAATAACCACTTGTTACAACAGGTCTGCAGAAGAGCATCACTAAATGCACAACACATCGAACCTTCAGGCGGATGGGCTACAGCAGCAGAATACCACACCGGGTGCAACTCCTGTCAGGTAAGTACAGGATACTGAGGCAACAATTAGTACAGGCTCACCAAAATTGGGCCATAGAAGATTGGAAAACGTTGCTTGGTCTGATGAGTCTCAATTTCTGCTGCGACATTCGAATAGTAGAGTCAGAATTTGGCATCAACAACATGAAAGCATGGATCCATTCTGCCTTAAATCAACAGTTCAGGCTGGTGGTGGTGGTTTAATGGTGTGGGGGATATTTTCTTGGCACACTTTGGGGCCATTAGTACGAATTGAGCATCATGTCATCGACACAGTTTACCTGAATATTGTTGCTGACCATGTCTATCCCTTTATGACCCAAATGTACCCATCATCTGATGGCTACTTTTATCAAGATAACGCGCCATGTCATAAAGTGTGAATCTTCTCAGACTGCTTTCTTGAACATGACATGAGTTCACTGTACTCAAATGGTCTCCACAGTCACCATATCTGATTCCAATAGAGCACCTTTGGGATAAGGTGGAAAGGGAGATTCGCATCATGGATGTGCAGCAAATCTGCAGCAACTGTGTGATGCTATCATGTCAATACAGACCAAAATCTCTGAGGATTATTTCTAGTACCTTGTTGAATCTATGCCACGAAGGATAAGGGCAGTTCTAAAGGCAAAAGGGGGTCCAACCTGGTACTAGTACTACCTATTAAAGTGGCCGGTGAGTGTGTGTGATTATTGTAGCATATTGTTTCAGGCCTAAAACAGCATTTTAATGAAAACAGAACTGAATAAACTGACTGATCTAGTATATTCTATGTAGACAACAACACATGCCACATACATAGCAATCATAAAGTGCACAGGAAAATAGACTTTAAATTGATTCTGGTAGAGATTGATATTAGCATGTTGCTAAGCATGTAATGCAATAGTCTAGCAAGCTTAAAAAATGCACAGCACATGAGTACTAGATTAAACAGTATTTTTATATGTTTTACGCTGATTCTAGTGTCAATAATATAGCACACTTTCTGTAACACAGCAGAAATACCTATACCCTCAGAAATAAAGGTATGCAAGCTGTCACTGGGGTGGTACATTTTCAAAAGGTGCACATTTGTACTTAAAGGGTCCATATTGGTACCTCAAAAGTATGTATTATTACCTAAAGGTTTTATGAGGAACAAATTTGTACTTTTTAGGTACTAATATGTACCCTTGATGTATTAATATGGACCTTTTAGGTAGAAATTTGTACTTTTTGAAAAGGTACTACCCCAGTGACAGCTTGCATACCTTTATTTCTGAGAGTGTATGATGTTTTAAAAAGCTGATCTAGGTAGGGGGGATGGGGGGGCTATGACTTGGAACAGAGCTGAAGTATTCTTGGTTTTCTGTCAGTTCCTTTGATTGCATACCCAAAATGCATTAAGGTCTTATAGCACCATGGGGCCAGAAGAGCCGCCCACTCAAAAGATGAACAGAAGAAAGGCAGTGGAACAAACAGTCCTCCACTGAGGGGAAAAAGCACCATTAAGTGTGGAGGGTTTAAGAGTGTGGGCTGGAAGCACTGCAATCTCAGGGAAGTAGGAAGAGGGGGTGTTTTGGAGGTAGTCAATGGCAGACCGGATCTGCGGGGTCTGGCAGGTTACCCAGGCACTGGCCCTTCACTTAACTTTACTAATGCATCAACGTCACAGACCTGGAGATCGCCAAGCAAGTCATTCCCGTGCTGATGAATTGTCTGCATACACTGCTGATAATGTGGCAGAGTGTTGCTGCAGCACGAATTTTATATGAAAATTATTGCGCCTGGAACACTTCAGGCCCCGGAACAGACGCATAGATGTCAGAAACCCAGAATTTAAAGCAGAATACGCATCCATAAAGCAGAATCACGTCAGAATCACAATTAATGACCCTCTGGTGTCTACAATAATTCTGGAGACACAATAGTAGAAACGTCCCTTTGGAACTGATCTGATTTTCAGGCCTTGTTTGAGTGTCAGACAATGGTGGAATTCTTTGGCCTGTGGTCATGTGATTCAGCTCAGCAAAACAGGTGGCTAACTCAGCTGAACATCTGGACTCTAAAGCCCTAATTGAGTTTTCTGTTGTAAAAATTCAGCACCAAAACCAAGTTGAACAGCCTTGTATGTCTTTATCCCTTGGGTCTTTATCTTATTTTTTAAGTTGTCAAAAGTATAACAACTGGAGTTGTCAACTATAGATTGTGGAGCCTGGACTTACATTGCATACAAGGATTGCAAACCTTATATGCAATGTAAGCTGCTTTGGATAAAAATGAAAGAATACCTGGCGAAAGAATAAATGCAGAATTTTCAAGTTTTTGATTTCAACAAAACCATGTTTTATGTTGTATAGCGCCATTCAAATAGTTGGATAAACATTTGCTCTAGCCATCTATCCCAGGGCTGTCCAACCCATCTCCCAGAGCAGGGGTTACGAATCTTAAAGCTGGTGTCCCAGCAGAGTTTAGCTCTAACTTGCCTAAGCACACCTGCCTAGAAGTTTCAACCTACCCAGTAAGATCCTGATTTGCTTGTTCAGGTGTGTTTGATTAGGGTTGGAGCTAAACTCCAGGAACAAGCTTGGTGACTACTGTCACAGAAGATCACTGTTTTTCAGAGCTCTAACCTCAACTTAACGCACCTGTACTAGTCAATCAAAAACTTCAGGATTAATGGAATCTTCCATACAAGTGTTTTTGTGGAAGTTGGAGCTCTGTAGGACAGAATTCTCATAAAGCAGGATCGAGTACTTATACTTTAATCATCCACTTTCCAGAACAATGTACATACCTTTGAGAGTTTTTGTCATCAGAAGTGTTTTAGGCTTCAAACAGATCATTCCACTCAATGCGACTGTGCATATGTGAAACCCACTCATACACAGTTGAGCATAGTTTAAAAGCTCCACGGACATAGCTGTGCATGTAGTAGTATGACCAGGCCTTTAGACAACCTTGATCTGTACCAGCGGTCTCTAACTGCTTATTCTTAGATCCATCCGAGTCAAACGCGCCTGAACCATCAATGTGTCCAGGGATTTGAGGAAATTACAACCAGGTAAGAACTGAACAATGAAGGAACTTAACTCTTCAGGAGCAGTTGGAGACCCTAGGTCTATACTTTTAAAAATCAAATGTAATGTACTTATAACTTCCAGGCAGGTGTGTTGAGGCAAGTTGGAGCTAAACTCTGCAGGACACCAAGTTTGGTGACCTCTGTCTTAGATCTTAATTTGTTTGATTAACCCTTTGTTTGATTAGGGTTGTAATGCAACCCTCCATGACTGTGGCTCTCCAGGGCTGAAGATATCCAATTATTTACATTTTGTAAATTACATTGTGGTCACCAAGCAATTGTTCAGTTCATTGCTAAGAATCTTTACAATTGTTTGAGGTCTCCCATCAACAGTCTTTGATACTCATAGTGTCTTAAATTGACCAATGACTTTCACTTCATCCAATGCTGCCTGTGTGAGCAACCATTGTTGGTTCAAATGCAGAGTTGCCTACAGAGCTGTGAAAGGAGTATATATTCAAGACCCAGAGCAATATCAATGGCCCGATTTCCTATAGGTGAGTGCCTTGAAGTAAACCTTTGCCATTTTACTTCTGTGAGTGTTGTATCCAGCACTTTGGATTATAACAACAGAAAGACATTGATAATAATAATAACCAATAGCAATTATTATCATTATTATAAAAATAACAACAATAATGATCATTTTATACATTCCCACTTCACAGAAGTGAAAATAAAACAGGTGTCAGCGCAGTGCTGAGCAGTGGTTTGCCTTCCACAGGGCTAAAAGCAGTTGTGTGTGTGTGTGTGTGTGTTTTGATGAGCAAGAGAAAGCCTTCCTTCTCCATGCCCAGTGTTGACTCGTACAACACTGGTCTGCTTTCCTCTCTGCCAGTGTTCTCTCTCTTTCATTGTTGCAGCATCTGTCTCTGCTTCTCTCCACAGGGTCAGTGTCCTTGGCACGTCTTGCAGCACATCTGCCTGAAGTACGCACGGCTGCAGAACTTGAACTTCAGCACCAGTGGGCAATATGCCACCTTATTTACGTCTTTGCACTCTGGGGGAAGAAAATAAAATGGTGGAATGAGAAAAGACACAAAAAGGCTTGTGACTTGTTTGCTTCAGTGGAACACAAAAGATGATTTTAACTTTGGTCTGTCAAGCTCCAAAATCAGAATAATGCATGAAGTGCTTAATACAACATGTATCATGTCTTGTCTTATAATGCCATAAAATAGACATAGACAGCTAAATTCAGCATTACGGATTCACCCTTTGCATTCCATTAAAAAAAAAAAAAAACCTTTATAAAGACATGAAGGTAAGTACTCATAGCAAAAGTATTCTTTTAAAACAACCACATTCCTGGAGTGCACCCAACACTGCACATTTTGCAAGACTCTTTAACTAAGCACACCATGTACACTCATCAGCTGATTAGTAAAAACTACAAAAACCAAAATGAGTGTGAGAGACAAATAGACATAAAATATGTGCAGTGGGGGTCCTCCAGCAATGTGTTTGGGAACCACTGCTTTAAATGATAAGCAAATCTATGTGGAACAATGACTTAGGGTTTGATTTGGAACCCAAAGGCTGTTGAATCTACAATTGCAATTACAACAATTTTGGGGAAGCTATACTACAATATTAAGCATACCTCTTTTAACATGCCCCCCTTTCAAAATTAGCCTTTCATTACACTTCAATATTGACTGTCTTGAAAGTTCTAGTCATTTCATTTTTCATTTCACTTCATATTTCACAGCGTTTTTAATGAAAAGTATCTTGACATTTCCTCTGTGGACAGCCTTTTGGGGTCGTATTTCAGATGTCTGCGTGTATCCAAGCAGTAATCAGTGCAGGGGTGAGTGGCTCAAGATTTTATACACTAGCTAAAGGGAACGCCAGTGAAAAGACTGATAATTTGTCATCTTCATCACAAAGATGATAATAAATAGCCCATACAAATCTCCTCCTCACTGTCCTCATGCTTATGACACCAGATGTTGGGTTTTACAAGTGATGTTCATTCCATGTCTACATGTCCTACATATTGTTACATTTTGTCCACAATATCAGATGTACGTAGCATGACACATTTCCACCAAATGAAGTTTCAAACTAATTTTGAGAGGAGCACATTATATCATCTGTAATCAGCAATATTCCAATAATATTGATTCAAGCTTACAACAATAGACAGAATTTGCCCTACTACATTGTCTTCATTTAGGAAGAATCCCTCCTTCCACCCCATCTCTCCTCCTTTTCCTCCCTTTACCAGGGAGAGCTCTAGAGACTTACCTGATCTCAGACCCTCTTATATGCTTATTTACCAGGCGGGAGCCCTGGGCTCAATTATCTCCGAGCTCAGGGTTCTCTCCCAGGACAGCATGCCAAAGTGTGAACTCTTGAAACTAATTTCGAGAGGAGCATGTGATTTGATTGATGGCGGCTGTTTTTTCATCTGTAAGCCAATCAAATCATTCCAAACTCACTATACATAGCCTGACTAGCATTACTCTCTCATCTCCGTTTTTTGAAGAATCCCCCATCCACCCTGTCTCTCCCTTTCCTCCTTTACCAAGGGGAGATCTCGAGAATTACCTGATCTTGTACCCCCTTATATTATCAATTACTAAGCGGGATCCCTGGGCTCAATTATCTCCTAGCAGGGTTCTTCTGGGACAGCATGCCAAATTTGCTATTATTATCATGCAATATCTGATACAAAAAAGGTATTTTATCATCAAGTACTCACCCTTGATATTATCCAAACCATTTTAATGTTTTTTTTGTACTGTTGAAGAAAAATAAGATATTTTAAAGAATGTTGGAATCCTGTAATCACTGACTTTCAAAGAATTGTATTTTTTATTTTTAAGTTAATGGCTTCATGTTTCCAATATACAGTACTTAAATATATCTACTTTTTTCAAGGGTGATTAAATGATCTCACGTCTTGCCAGAAGACTTGCTTTATTTAAATGAATATTAAATGGTTTAATTAAAGTTTACATATGCCAGCTTCCACAAAAGATAAACTCTAAAAATGATGGTCCTAATTTACTTACTTATGTTCATTCACCCCTTCAAGTGAACTATATTAGTGGATTATTAGAAGGAAAAATTAAGGTGCTATAGGGTTATGTATAGAGAGTGGTTTTAAATACAGTCATGGTCTTCAGGCTCTGTCCCAAATAGCACACTTAAAGTGCACTTGAAAACGTAGAATAGTTAAGTCCATGAGACTGTAGGGTTTGCCATTTGACATATTAGCTTTCAGAAGTGTGTACAGAAACATCTTTTTTTTGTGGATTTTGCTAAAACTGCATTGAAACTGCCTCCAAGCAGACTTCTATCTGACAGTCATAGAAATGGCATCACAAATGTCTTGACCACTTTGGTTCAGAGTGCCATTTGGGACAGGGCCTCATTAGAAACTCCCAAAGCAAGTGGGCTAAAGCTGGTTGCAGCTCAAATCTGTGGGATGCTGGCCTTCAAGAAGCAGGATTGGACAGCCCTGATTTAGAGCTGGTTATATGATGCTTGAAATATAACTCATAAACTTTGTCACATGCTCTATTTATCCTGACTGTTTTTTATAGCACATTAAATCAAAGCACATCTATGGAAACAGTCATGACAATGCATATTGAATACAGATTGTTGGTCGCATCCTTGATTTTTGAAATGCATAACGAAAAGTAATTTTGTTGGATTTCTGACCAGGGACTGGATAAAGTACCAATTAAATTTTCGATGGGGCCCAATGGGGGTTTTATATCTTGCACGACCCTGTAGCATTGAAAAGCTAATAGACTTTCTTTGAGTCAAGGCCAAAATCGAGTTCTCCTCCAAAAAAGGCCATGACTCAGGGCCTGGACACGAGCCTCTTATGGTAATTACAGCATCTAAGCATAAAACGAGAGAACGACCTGATCCACAGCACAGGCAGACGGCCATCTGCATTAGCATGGCCGCTAACCGGCCCGCTCTCATTTATCGTGTCTTCCTTATTAGAGACTTTAAACTGCCATAGCTGACGACAATGAAAGTAAACATTCCATCACTGCTGTTGATTAAGATTCAACTAATCCCATTAAGGTCCATTAGGAGAGATAACCTAAAGCTGCTTGACCGGTGAAGAAATCTGAATAGGGTTTCATCTCACAAGAGTCACAGATCTTTTATTGAATCCAGAATTGCTTAAATAGCATCCCGCCTTGATTCCAAACAGAGGAAGTTAATAACAGGCAAGACAAGAACAATATAATCCTTTGTTAATTCAAAATTAAATGCAGAGTCTGCAGACTTTGCAAATGTCAACACTGTGATCAAAGCCACATGCAGCTCATATGAAGCACTTATAAGTCATCATTGTAAGCAATGAGGAATTAGCAAATAGGTAATTGGCTTACCGTCGCCACCAGAGATGGGTGTGGAATCACACTTGCTTTCACACTGCTGCATAGTGTTGGGCCGCAGTGAGTCCAGACATTCGCTTGAGGGCTGTCCCGTGTAAGACAAACACTGAACTGTTCGCATCTGCTGTCCTAGTCCACACTGAGCAGAGCACTGTAAAACACACACACAATGAGCTGTTAGGACAGCGTGTAACCCATATTTCAGAATTATGTGATGTAGGGATATTACAATCAAGTAATTTATTTTGCAACAAGTAATATTTTAGTACCACATTCTAGCCAAGAAATATTGACTTAAAAAGGAACTGGTTCATTAAAGTGAAATGTAGCATCCAATGATGATTTATCCAGCATTTGAAGGCAAACAAATCTGATATACAAAGTTCTGACCCAAAGTGAAATGTTCATGTGTGCTCCAGTGATGTGCGGTGAGGTTTGTGGCTGGTAACGCACAACTCTTTCAGGGTCATATTTACATTAACCCAATATATTTGTCAACTACCGATTGTATGAAACTTTGCTTATTAAGGTTTATATATAAGTGCTTGGTTAAAGATCAACATTACATGGTGATGTTTAGACTCTATATATTGCAAATAATGCCTTGGGTAAATTAGATGTGGTTTGGAAAGTGAATTATGCATAGGAAAATATTAAAGACTCTTAAATTTTATAATAGTTAACCAGTGGACTATGACTACGCAAATGCAGGCTACATTATGGATGACACCTCCCAGTGACCAACTCACAGGATCATCCAATCACAATGGTGGATTTGAAAGGTGACATCCTTCAATCTCGCCTTCCAGAGATAGTATTAAAAGACATTCTCTCAAACAAAAAGTGTGGTCAAAGTGTGTGGTAAAAAGTGTGGTCAAAGTGTGGTTCATGGTGGTTTGCGGGGTTCTGTTCTAGACATCAGAACTTTTGCTGCGTGTTCCAGCAAGGATTTGGTAATTGGATTCACAGTGCTTTTTCCAAGGCGTCTGAAACCATAGCTTCAGGACCACCACCTCCTGAAATCTGCGTGTCCCAAATTTCCAGGAACTCTACCTTCAGAAAGACGTCGGCGTGTCCCCGACATTGAACCACCACCTCCAGAAATCTTCAACTTCTGCGTGTTCCAGAATATACAGATTTCTACGCACAAGGATAAAGACGTCGGTGTGTCCCCGACATCAGACCACCACCTCCAGAAATCTCAGTTTTCTGCGTGTTCCAGAAGATACAGATTTCTATGCTCAAGGATAAAGAAGTCGGCGTGTTTCAGACATCGAACCACCACTTCCAGAAATCTTCAGTCTGCATGTTCCAGAAACTACAGATTTCTTCCACTCAAAGTTTAGGAGAGCCAAGTCTGCTCATTTCATGCTTCAAGATCTGCAGGAAGATCCAACTTCTTCCATCCACTGCATCAAAGGCAGAAACAAAAATATTCCACTTTCCAACCCTCTAAATTAGACCTTGGCATAGTGTGTTTCAGTATAAAATATTCTAATGAATTAGATGTTTATAACTGATATTCATTAATAACAAAAACTTCCTCTGTTCTTTGTTATTGTAGAATAAGGTTACCTTACCTTAACTTAATCACCTTCATCACTTGCCTATACACTTCATTTATTGTACATTTAGTGATTGTAGTTACCCTTGATTACAATTTTGTTAATAAATACACCTTTATTACAATTGTGTCTTCCTTGTGTTGATAATACAGAAAAAGGCTTTTAAAAGTCAAACGATCTCATTATCCTTCAGATTTGGCCAGATAATAAACTCCTCATTTGTATAATTTAACTAACAATATTTTATTGTTAATTATTTTGACAGTGGAAAGCTGTCTGGTGCCCCGTTAAAAAGGAGTTATTTATCTGTTATTTCTACATTAATTGGTGCCCCCACGTGAGGCTAAAATATCAATATTAATATCAATACCTAAATATTGATTTTAATATTTGATAAATCCAATTATCACTACAAGAGCAACAGTATCTCCAGCAGAAAAAGAACCTCTACAACAAAAGCTTCTGGTCCAAATTATTTTATATGTTTCCTAAATTGAAATACATTGTGTTTATAACAGGGTTTTTTTAACCTAGAGAATTGTCACACAGAATTGGCCAATAGAGACTCTTTTGAACTCATGTAATGCCAGGTGATAAATGGCAGTACCTCTTTACTGACTGACAGCTTGTAATCTGAACAATGACACTGCATGGTGATTCCATGTGGAAATGTGGTCTAAATATTTTTGCATCTGAATTTCAGCTGTCATTGGAACATGTTTGTGTTCAAATGCATTGACTTACTTGAGAAGTTACTGTAGAACCATCCAAATAAATGATTAGCAGACATAAAGCTGATGGTCTAGTAATACTCTAATGACTGCTAGCTGACATGTGGCTGCAAAGCAATAGCCAACAGAATGACTAAATGGGACCATCAAAATTAAACTTAGTTGCACATTTATATGAAAACACTAAGAAGCAGAAATACAATAGTTATGAAATACCAGTCCATTGCCAACCAATCAGACTGGAATAACTGAATTCAGTGAACTCCTGGCATTTTATGTGCAGTGTGCATCAGGCGGTCTGTGGCATGCTTGTGAATTCTGGCCCAATCTCAGACTTCCAAAACTAAGGGGCTAGAGCTACTTGCGGAATGTCATTGTAATAGTTTAATTGAATCTCTGACTACTGTCAGCTGTTCTACATTAGAGGTCTCGACGTTGCTCGAGGGAGTAAATTGCGACTGTCTGAAGTTAAACGGAGACGTATTCCAGTAGTCCTCCACCGTGATGTAGCACAGTGATTCAATGGAAAAACTGAAGAGTAACCTAGCAACCCAATACAATACACAAATTTAGCTCATTAGTCACTCTACTGCAGCGCCGAGTGTGAATGCCACAGAAAAGCTGACGTCGCATGCCAAGACAAGGATCTGATGGGGATTTAGTCATAAACACGTGTAAGGCCCACAGTGAAGGACCCCTCACGGGACTGGGAGTGAGGACGTCTCAGATGAGTTTCCAGCAGCCTTCCCATTTCATCCCCTCTATATTAAACAGACTTTATTAGAGCACGAGCCCCTGACAGACGGGATATGTCAGTGAGCGCCTTAAGTGGGATTTGAACCAGCGACCTTTTGGCCCATGGCTCCCTTCAACAGCCACTCCATTATGCTAGTCCCAGATCACTGCAGGAGTCATGGAATGGCGAAAACCGTACAACAGGAGTTGACGCTTTCATTCAGGATGATGGTTAAGTCTGGATTTCGATTATTTTTTTCATATATTCACATAATTTTTAACTACTTCTTTCAAAATTTTGAAATACTTACAGACCCACTGCATTAAAGTCAATGGGTTTTTGGTTAAATGCCTGAAATACCATAAGGTGTGCGGTTAATACAAGCTCAATACACTTAAATGTTTTATTCTACCATATAGAAAAATACACCACTCATACAATGTTGCTTCAAGAGCTGTTGGTAATGTGTAGTTAAATGGTACTTTAAAAGTTGTCGAGGACATCAAATGTCATCAGGCCAAATACAAAAACCTTTCAACATTTCACTCTTCTGCTTTTACTTATATTCTAAACAACAATTCTCATTCAGACTAGTAGGGAAAATGCTTCTGTTAATTGTGTTGTTTAAATCTTAAAGGGTTAGATCATCCAAAAATGAAAATTCTGTTATTAATTACTTTGTTTGTCATTGTCTTATTTGTCAAATTATGGTTTGTGCTAACTTCTGGCAATATGGAGAAATATGCTCTATTGCCGATACTACACTACCTGATAAAAGTCTTGTTGTCAATACCAGTTGTAAGAGCAACAAACAACTTGACTTCTACTTGATCACTTGAAAAAGTTAGGTATATTTTTCAGATTAATCATTTGTTGAACTGCATCCCAATCATCACAAATATTGCAGGAGACCTATTGGAACCCACATGGACCCAAGATTGTCACAGAAATCAGTCAAGTTTGGTGAAGGAAAAATCATGATTTGGGGTTACATTCAGAATGGGGGCATGCAAGAGATCTGCAGTGTGTATGGCAACATCAACAGCCTGAGGTATCAGGACATTTGTGCTCCACATTAAATTACAAACCACAGGAGAGGGCAAATTCTTCAGCAGGATAGCGTTCCTTATACTTTAGCCTCCACATCAACGTTCCTAAAAGCAAAATAGGTCAAGCATTGTTCCAGGATTGGCCAGTCCAGTCACCAGACATGAACATTACTGACGTCTGAGGTAAGATAAGATGAAGAAGGAGGCATTGAAGATGAATTTAAAGAATCTTAATGAACTCTGGTAGTCCTGCATGAACGCTTTCTTTGCCATTAGAGAGTACTTTTAATAAGTTAAGTTGAAGTTATTTGAGTCATTGCAGAGATGTATGGACGCAGTCGTCCAAGCTCATGGGAGTCATACACAATATAAATTCTTTTTCCACTGCACCATGACTTTATATTTTATACAGTACATTATTTCTACTGTATTTTAAGTGATAAGACTTTTGTCTAAGCAAAGTCAGATCCTAAAGTCCTAATTAAATATTTAAAAATCAAGGCATAATCATATTTTATTTTGGTTAAAAAAAGCGTAATCTAGAGGCCTTTCATATAAGCAACTAGAAGTCAAGTTATTATTTGTTGTTCCTAAAACTTGGATAGGCAACAAGACTTTTGTCACGTAGAGTAGTAGATGCACACACTGACCAGAACTGGAAGAGAAAACAAATTTATTTAAAAAAATTTTTTGGAGCACAAAAGTGTTCTTGGAGCTTTTTATGATTATAGTTGAACCACTGAAATCACATGGAATGTTGAGAAAACTTTTGGTTTAAACATCTCAGGACCGTTTATAATATCTTGTGTTCAGATGACAAAGTAACATCTTAGGGGGTTGGAACGACATGAGGGCAAGTAATTAATAACAGAATTTTCATTTTTGGGTGAAAAAAAATCCTTTAAAGGGGCTATATATCATGCTTTTTATTATTCTCCCTGTCTAAAAAATCATTTAAATTCAACTAAAGCTAGACAAGAGGGTTTCACAGACAATGTAGAATGACGTAGATGATCTTGTTGTTTAATGTCGTTAATGCCGGTCACACATTGGCAAATGTAAATAACACAAGGACATTCTTATATTTAGTTCCTTTAATGGTGGGTGATGTAGGACATCATGTGGTTTAGCTGGTTCATAGCCGAAATTTGTTTTTGTTAAAAATTTATTTAGATTTTAAAATTCATCCAATTTACATTACCTTTAAATCAGCAGTAACAATTTTGTTTATCGGGCATTTTGTGGAAAAAAAAAAAACTATGAGCTACCACAGTTATTCTGATAGTTTTCTTATTTTAAAGGAAGAAACCACAGGATCGGTCTGAGACTGATATGTTTTGTCTTTTTAAAAACATATTTCTGGCATTGACAGAAAACCATGTCTACTGCAGAGATAAACTTCAAACAATCTGGATGATATTACTACCACTTACACACTCTTGGGCTGTTATATTCGCTGTCACTCATGAAAACACACGTCACTGGCTTTCCAGAGGCCCTCGTTTATCATGCGAGTGTAAATTCTGTTGACGTCAACCAAACACATGGCCTTTTTCATGCTGTATTAAAACAGTCTTCGCTCAAGCCTTTGTCTGTACAGATGTACTACACCGCAATTCCTGGTCTGAAAAATTTCTACTAAATCATAAAGGCACTTGAAATACTTACATTTAAAGACTTGTGTTTTACAGTCGACGTGAAAGCTTCACAAGCAATGAGATGTACAGTATGTGGGTCAAAGATGTTCTGCATCAAATTAAATTCACAAAAGTGGCTTTTATATATGTAGCTAGCATATTAAAATAAACAGTCTATTTTAATGTTTAATCATTTCCATCAATATACTGTAAGTCAACATATGGGAAATATTTTATAGTCGTTCAGTATAACACATATATTTATGTAAAAACAAAACAACTCACGTTTACTCTAAAAAATGCTGGGTAGAATTAAGAGGTATAATTTAAATTTAACTGAAAGCTAATATATGTTTATTAAATTATATTATTTATAATATTAATATCATGACACAAAATCTCCATACGACAACACACTTGGCAGGAGTTTTTAAAAAGTTTTGGTTTCAGTCCCCTGTTACTGCACTCCACTTACACCTCATTCAACTGCCATTCTTGTTCATAGTTTAGTCACATCCCGTTTAGACTTCTTTAATTCCCTTCTGTTTGGCCTCCCTAATGGCCCATTTCCACTCAGTATTTTGGTACGGTACAGTTCAATACGCTTTTATGGCTTTTTTCACTGTCAAAAGGTTAAGAAGCAAACTGTACCGTACCACTTTTTGCCTACCCTTTGCAAAGGGTACCTAGCACAGCAAAAAGGTACAAAAAAGCGGAGCTAGACACGCAACTGTTGTTGTTGTTTGTTGTTGTTGTTGTTGTTGTTATTATTATTATTATTTTTATTGTTGGCATGTGGACGAATGTGCAAATATCAATATTTATGTGAATGGGGCCTACCAGTTATTGGTGTTAATCTGGAAACTGGTGACACTTTCTTAATTGTTTTTTAATCCTTATTTAACTTGCAGACAAACTATCTAGCTCAGCTCTGAACTGAGGATCTGTATCTTCCCATTGTGTCTCAACATTTCAGAAAATTGAAGGGAAGTAAAGGGATAAACAGTGAACAGGTAGGTAGGTAGAATGATCGGGCGTCCTACGATAATGCCCAAAGACTCAGAGTGGGGGTATCGTCTCTAATATTTTGGTAGATTGATTGGACCCCGCGATTCAATATAGGAGTGGAGAGAAGGTTATAGGATTGTTATTGGGACACAAGGAAATAGAGGGAGGTAGGGTGGGTTCGAGAGAATGAGAAGAACTGTGCTAGAGAACTGGTCTGCCTTAAATAAGTTTTAGGCAGAAGGTGATTAATTAAAGAGACAAAGTGAGGTGTGGTTCCAACGGCGAACCTTTGTTAACAAGTTAACTCCATAAGTGTCATGGTTTGGTGGTGTTTTTCTACAGCAGCAGTTTAACCTCATATAGCAACATGGCAGATGTAAATGTTAAACATGCAATTCCTTCCCTGCATTCATTACCAAATCTACCAGCAGGACTCATAGCAGTACAAATAAAGCAGTTTCATAAAGCTAAAAAAATTGAAATAGTAAAATGGCTGCCCAGAGTCCTTATCTAAACCTAACTGAAAATTGTATTATATTTTACATGATTAAAATTGTATTGCTGGACACATGGGTAAACCCAGAGGACAAACAGAGAGATCAGTGTGGATGAAATGTAAGCTCATACCTGTCCCCATTCTCCAGGGATCCAGCGTGGTGGAGGACACCGGCCGAGGCTGCAGCGAATGCGGACCGGAGGTTTGCTATGGTCAGAACAGAGAGCTGCTGGGAAGGTTTTGGTCAGGTCACTGCTTTTACACAGGACAATACGATGCTTGAAACCAGGACCACATTTCGGAGTGCACTATAGAAAAAAACACAACAAATTAATAATAAAACATCTTCGAATAAAGTGATTGTTTATACAAGAGGATGAAGAAATAAATGAAGTCACCTCTGACCAATCCAGCGTCACCCACTGAGGTGGGCAGGACTGGTTGTTGCAAGACTCTTGTTCTATTGGTCGATGAGTCAGACAGTGGCTGTCTTCCAGTGTCTCCTCTTCGGCAGGGTTGATTTTACGGATACACAGAACAGTACGTGTCCGGATCCCTCCATCACAGGTTTTTCCACATTCTGACCAGTCGCCGATAAACCATCTGGAATACAACATGGTATAGAATTAACTTTTTCACACACAAAAACGTCTAAAAAATTGTCAATCTGAATCATGTTAGAACTGCATTTTGAAAAATAGTATTTCAGATATTTGTTTTTGTACATACAGTAGCATACACAAATATATACAAACATTCAAATGATAGTTGTTTTTGGTAGTGGCGGTGGTGTGGCTTGGGAATTACCATTTCATTCATTCATTCATTCATTCATTCATTCATTCATTCATTCATTCATTCATTTTTCCTTCTGCTTAGTCTCTTTATTTATCAGGGGTCACCACAGCAGAATGAACCACCAACTTATTCAGCATATGTTTTACACTGTGGATGCTCTTCCAGGTGCAACCCAGTACTGGGAAACATATATACAAACTAATTCACACAACAATTTAATTTATTCAATTCACCTATAGCGCAGGTCTTTGGACTGTGGGGGAAACAGAAGCACCTGGAGGAAACCCACGCAAACATGGGGAGAACATGCTCCACACAGAAATGTCAACTGACCCAGCTGGGGCTCCAACCAGTGACCTCTTTGCTTTGAGGTGACTGTGCTAACCATTGAGCCACCACACCGCCTGGAATTAGCATTTCATTTAGTAAATATATACATACAATACCGCTATTTTAGGAAATGCTTACATTTTTCTATTCATCAAATAATGCAAAAAAATATTATTTGAATGTTTTCTGTTTTCAACTGTTTTCAATACTGGTAATGAAGTATTTTTAATCAAGTATGATTAAAAAAAGCATCAAATCAGCATATTGGAATAATAAAAAGATCACGTGTAATGTACTGTAATGTACATTACTTACCATAAAAGGTAACTAAGTTACACAACTAGTTACTTGTTTTGGGAATTATTCAATATTGTAATGCATTACTTTCAAAAGTATGTATTCCCAACACTGTATACATACAGTTAAAGTCAAAATTATTAGCCCCCCCTTTGAATAATTTTTTTTTTTTTTAACTATTTCCCAAATGATGTTTAACAGAGCAAGGAAATTTTCACAGTATGTCTGATAATATTTTTTTCTTCTGGAGAAAGTGTTATTTGTTTTTTTTCCGGCTAGATAATAGCAATTTTAAAAAAAATTTTAAACACCATTTTAAGGACAAAATTATTAGTCACTTTAAGCTATATATATTTTTGATAGTCTACAGAACAAACCATCGTTATACAATAACTTGCCTAATTACCCTAACCTGCCTAGTTAACCTAGTTAAGCCTTTAAATGTCACTTTAAGCTGTATGGAAGTGTTTCGAAAAATGTCTAGTCAAATATTATTTACTGTCATCATGGCAAAGATAAAATAAATAAGTTATTAGAGATAACTTATTAAAACTATTATGTTTAGAAATGTGTTGAAAACAATCTTCTCTCCGTTAAACAGAAATTGGGGAAAATAAAATAAACAAGGGGACTAATAAATGTGACTTTAACTGTATATATAACAAATAGGTTTTTCACTGCAGTGACTATAACTATTGTGTGACTCACACCCTCATTTACAATCTCTCAATAAAATCCAATCATGAATAAAGCCATCATAATTTTGATTTTGATTTTTTTTTATAACCAAGTTTCAGGGGCTAAATACAAATAGTATCTTACCACACAGTAGGTTTAAATTACAGAAAAAATAAACATTAGGCATAAATGGCCTGAAACGCTATTTTATTTACTCACCAAACTCCTATTTGCACTCACATTCAGCTATTTGGACCAGCAAATACACTGTGATAATGTTCAGCGTCTTCGAACACACAATGGTAACAACATAGCCAAATTTGCGTTCAATCTTTCTTCATTTCTGGCAAATTCAATCCTACACTTCAGCTGGGCTGTGGAATACAGGACGCCTCTTTATATCATTTGTTACGGCTGAATTAGGTTTTGAGCGGTTTGTTTGCATTCTCTTGGTGATGCTCTGATAAAGCCATGAACAATGTGCCTTATGAAACACTACAAGCAAAATAAAGCCGAAAATAAAATATTAATGAAATAACATCTGTCAGTATCAGCGAGATCATTAGAGAGAAATTACCTCCCCAAAAACAACAGGGTGTTCTCTAATGATCATTTTGACCCTTTCCGGGCCACGGAGCGCATTCCTCTGACATCAAGTGGAGATGGAAATAGATTTTAGATTATGTTATTAGCGATGCCCATCTCAGGGTTCAGGTTCACTAAACCCTCCTCTGGCAAGATGCAAAAGCACAGAGGCCAAAACCATTTAATTTCTCCTTCCAGTTTCAAATTTGCAGACACAAGTGAACTTTGCTCAGCTGCTTGCCCCATTGAAAACGAGCGCTAAGTGCGTCTGGCCGCCGCACACACGAACACTCCACACGTTTATGGATATTGTCCCTTGAGGGTTCATAAACTCCGCTAGCCAATACAATTAAACGCAGGTGATCACTCATACTTTTTTGGACGCCTTTAGGATTTTGGCACTGGAGTCTAAATGAAAATAGGCAACATATGAAGAAATAAATCATGTTGCTTAGTTTTTAAATTGTCTTCAAAGAAGCTCTTTATTGCTGAGGTGCTATGAAGACAAACTAAACATTATGGGTTGTGGCCCTTTGTGCTTTTTATCGCTGGGCAGATATGTAATGTTTTGATAAGGCTCATCAAAGAGTGAAATGTCTGTGTTTTAAAGTTTTTTATTGTCATAGGCTGGCAAAGAGAGCAAAGCTTTGAGTAGAAGTTAAATGTTTAGATAACTGCATATATATTTTACCTCAGAATTCATGGGACTTTTTTCCAACATTATTAAATTAATTTAAAGATATTTTAATCCAATTTATAAAGCAGACAAATTTAACTCTCTAATGCGATAAATCTTTTCCATACATGTCTCATAACCAGTCAAGACACGAGAAAGACATTTTGATAGCTGTTTGTCATGTTGAATAATGTGTTAACAAGACAGCATAAAAAATCAGGTTATTCACTAATGGGGCTGTCAAAATATAAATACATTCCACTTCATATTTTATATATTAGGGGCCCCCAAATCACCAGTCGCAGCCTAATACCGGGTATTGAAAGAGCTTTTTTTCAGGGCAGCAAGAATGCAAAATTACTCTTATATGTAATGCCACTTTATTGTGAGTTTACTCTTTAAGAATCAATATCCATACCTGAGATATTTCTGTCCTTCTGCTTAAATCCTATCCACTAAAAACTCTTCAAAAGTTAAAAGCATAAAAAGATAACTTAAATTAAATAGTAGCGTTTTTTTACAGTCCACAGGTGCATATACATACTATAAACTACTAATAATAATTACAAAAACAAGGTAACAATTAGATACTAACCCTGACACATTTCCTATTCCTAAGTCTAACCTTAACCTATGGGGATACAGTAGGAGTTGAACAGTTAAATTCATGCTTTTCGACTAGACGTGATCATTATATACACTGTAAAAACCCAACAGTCAGCTTTATCAAAACAGTTAACTTAAAATGTACTGAACGTTAATTCTACTCTACTATTTAAAAAGAGTTTTGAACTCAGTGTTAAAGGTAATGAGTTAATTAAATACATCATTACTTCAACTTAAATTAAGTAAGTTCACAGAACTCATATAGATTAGTTTTTAACTCTAATGGTTTGTAGCAATTGGTTTTCTCAAACGGTTTGAGTTGACTTAAATTATTGAGTTTTGCAGTACTCAGTTGGTTTGAGTTCTCTTCATTTTTTGGGTTTTACTGTGCTCAAGTTGCTTCGTTTACTCAAATAGATTAAGTTCACAGTGCTCATTAGGATTAGTTTTTGAACTTAAATGGTTTGTTGCAATCGATTTCCTCAAATGGTTTTAAGTTACCTTAACTTTTTGGGTTTTACAGTGTATGATTTATATGGTTTTATCATTTTATATATTATATTTAATTTAGTAAATTATTCACAGAATTTTAAGTAAAGTACATCATCACACTTTACAGCACAGGATGTGACACTTTTGAGCTTCAGCAAGAACTTTTTTCTGAGGATTCTGATTCAAATTCTAATGTATTTATATTTTCTTTTGTAAACAGACAATCGATGAAGGGACAAAAAAAACTCTCAGATTTCATTAAAACTATATTTTTGTTCTGCAGATGAACCAACGTCTTACAAGTTTAAATTAACATGATGGTGAGTAAATATTAAAATAGGTTCATTTTGCTGTATCCACTTGTTAAGTGTGACGTCACGTGAAGTGGCTTTCAGGTCCAATCACTATATCAAACTGCACAAGAAGGCTCATCAAATGGTAATAATAAATTTTTATAAAGCGATGTAATACTTTTGAAAATCGTGATCGCAATACATATATCCATGCCTAATATCTGATGGCCAGAAAGTGAATAATGTTTTATAAATTGTTAAAATTTTGGTGTTTGTGATACAGCAAGCCCAGAGACTGGTGCACACACCATGATTTTATATAAAACAAACTCACTTTATTATGTGATATGAGTAAAAAGAGGTCATAAACAAATATTTTTTCAATTCAAATGAATAACGGCTTGGACCAGGAAACAGTATTCCATTCGTCACCAATACGTCACGACTTAACAGGCGGATATCAACCCTTTTCCCCCAATACACCTCAGATTTGTATATAATACTCACTTTATTATATAAATATAATAATACTCACTCTGGAGGGCATGGTTCAGTGTTACACCTTCTCTGGTTCCCCGGCGGTTTGCTGTCCTGATCGCAGTAGCTGTTTTGGACCACCGAATTGTCATCTAGTCTTTTACACACCACCTCCTGCTTCTGCGAGCCTACAAGAAAAGACAATAAAACATCACTTCATTCATCTGCCCTGCGCTTTCAGCTGAGAGACGGTTTTCAACACTTTAACAGCTCATGCTCAAAGTTCTGTGGGGTCGGCGAGGGTCTCTAAGGTAAAACTAGTTCTGTGCCTCTTCTCTAGCGGTGCACTTGCTGACAGAGCACTCTGTGTGGACTGAGCACGGAGGCCATATTATTTTCCCCTCAATATTATATCTAGGTGTGTAAATGCCTCGGTTGAAGTGAGTGTCTTAGTGAATGACTTTTACAGAGAAGCCAATCTTTTCTTTGGCTCTTGATTGTGAAAAGTGAGCATTACCACAGTAATGGCAGAGTTGTGCATATGCTGTATTCTGAGCACTAGAGGCAATTGGGCTCTTTAGGGCCTATAAGGAAAGACATTAGCCTCCAGTTAAGCCGGTTTATGCCAAGCTTGGCTAGCACACAAGGCCACCTTGTGAGGTGGATCTAATAGCTGCCAGTACGGCATTCTTGACTGGGTAACCGAAATACTCCGATGGATGACCCCTTTCCAGATTCAAAGAAAAGAGATTTCGCTAATACCGTTTTGATTCATCGAAAGCTAACTAGGGGGTAAATGTGCAAATTTATGACATCAGTTCATGATGTAAGACCGTTATCATTGTTCTTGCACATAACGATCACAATAATAATGACGGCATCATTGAAATTTAATGGGAGTTTGAAAAAAAAAGCAGGAATGAAATCCAAGAGTCTGTAGCGGTGTGAATCACGAATCATTTTTAAAAGAATATTACAGATTTTTATTGCCGTTCACTCGGTGTTTAAACGCTCTGCGTGTGGCTTGCCAACAAAACAGCCGTGAGTTGTATTAATAAGCAAATTTCACAAATGACATAAGTGTTGCCCTGGGGAATTTCCATATAAACTTAAAAATGTGTTTAAATGAATTGAGCAACAAATGAGGTCAAGTTCGCGGAGCTTGGAGAAAACCCTCCATGGACTAGCCTGCGATGTTTGCATTTTTTGGTGAAATATAACAAGTACTTTGAATGTTTTCAATGGCCGTGCTTGAAAAAAGCAGAGAGAAAAACTATTTATTGTTGTAAGAAAGCCATTAATTTCGGGGACGCCTGAACAGTCTGGTCATATTTGAGGTGAGGGCTCACATTTACATGTGGTTACGACATTCAGATGTTGAAATAAGACGCAGTCTCGCTGCTCACTGAACAACTTGTACCTTAGCAGTAGAACTGATAGACCATAATCATATAATGTCAGTTAAAATGCATCTTTTTGTCGTATTTTATTGCTAATAAAAAAAAGATGACTGCAGCACAGATTTGCAAAAAGCAGCGGTTTCAAATGGACACAAAAGTAATTTAAATAGTGTTTAAAATATGGACTGAATAAGTGTGTATAAATGTTTCTCAGAGATGGGTTGCAGCTGGAAAGGCATCCGCTGCATTAAACATGTGCTGGATTGCGGTTCATTCCGCTGTGTCGACCCCGGATTATTTAAGGGACTAAGCTGAAAAGAAAATGAATGAATGATTAATTCAAATGATTTGTCATCCAAGAATCAGAGTTGATACTCCTCTTGTGAACTCAGGATTGAGTAAATACACATTTCTTCATTATTGGTCAGTAGGTTTGACAGATGTTCTCACCTCCTGCACATGTAGCAGAGCACTCAGACCAGGGCAGATGGTGCCAGGAGAAGCCCACTTCGTTGTCCCCACTTCCTGTACGCTGGATGGGCACATTGAACTTGTACTGAATGCCCAGGTTTTGTTCCTGTAGTAACACCTGTGACGAAAGCACTAGATTTACTACTTTGTAGTTAATTTACATGCTTAAATCATCCAGAAACTAAAGTTTTGTTTTAATATGTGAGTGAAACAACTTCTTGAACAAGACAAAAAAAAACCTTAGATGGGAACTGATTTTGTCTATTGGGACCTTATTGGATCATTATTGTTTGCGGCTGGTTTATCTCATAAGTTACATCAACAAAGAGATTTTGTTGAAGAGAGAAATGTTTTTCTGATTAAATATTGCAAGGACAAAATGTGCACAATGGCTGTGCAATACTGACAAAACCTTTTCTCTGTATTATTTCTTGATTCTAATAATCAAATATTATTTTGCTAAGTGTGTTTTTGTGTTTGCTTTTTCTGGTTTAGGCCTGTTTCTAAAACTAACAGAAAGAGACAAGCCACTTTCGTGAAGAGTAATTCATTGACTTATTAATTTAAACGATTCATAAAAAGTGGTTGTAGAAACAAAGCAAAGCAAGTGACTGTTTTTATGAACTGATCATTAAATCAATGGCTCATTTGATTCATTCAAATAAAGCTTCATTCAGGAGAAAAATACACAAATGAGAAGCATAAATGTTTGATCTAAAGGATCTTCATTGGCAAAAAAAAAAATAAATGTAACATGCTCAATATTATTTGTTGGTATTGTTAAAATGCTATAGTTTAAAAGATCATTTTTACATTTGCAAATCAGACTTGTGATGATTTTTGGTAAAAATTGCACTCTTGCTTGTTTTTATATTACTGAACTCTGTCATATTTTAGAAACATATAAAACAAAAACCTACACAGAGATGTTTTTTTGCTGTCATAACTCTTTGCATCTGCATTTGTATGCATTGTGTACCACCTCAGGCGTGCACTATTTTCTAATAATTTAATGGTCCATCATCAATTATTCCTTATATATTTTATTGTGGACACTGTGGACTATTTATGGCAAGTGACTGGCCAAAACAATTTAAAAAATAAATCTGTGGATTTAAATGAGCAAATAAAGATGCAGCTTGCACACTTTTGAGGTTAGATATAAAAACCAGCAACTGTCTATGAGATGAATGGTAATTTCTCCAGGTATTTTAGATCTCCATGGTCTCCACCAAGGATTTTGGCAGATGAAGTTGGTCTTGGATCAGTGACAAAAACATAAATACTGAGGTCTTAAAAATGCATGGAATAGAGCAATCAAATCATTAAGACGAGATTTTTTTGGATGAGCCCAACCTCAGTTCAGCTTGAACGAGCACATATTTAGCATATCACATCAGCTTTATTTCTGAATGACTTAGTCAGAGAGCCGTAATTGTGTGTGTGTTATAAATTGGAAAGCCATGTTAACCAGAGGAATGGCTTGTGGTGTATTGGCCACTTGTATGTTTTCCAGCGGTGCTGCGACCAGGCCTGGTATTTCCAGCACTTTTGTCCAGGCGAAAGCGTTTGTGGTTGCAGAGACGGGGCTTTTCAGAATGAAAACACACGCACACGTGCGCGCGTGCGTGCTAAAACATGTGCGCACGAGCATTCGCTTTTGGCCAGACAGAGGTTTTTAGTGCAAACATATATAACAGTTAACTCTGAAACCGCTAGCTAGAGTTCATGTGAGGTTTGTACACAGATGTGGACTTTATTTAGAAGGAGCCAAACAATTTCAAACTGCACATTCAAAATACAGGCTTGCTCTACAATGTCAATACTGTGACTTTACAAAAGACAAATTTACTATATGAGAGTTTATGATCTAAAAATAACTCAAAAGAAAGGCCTTAACTGTACAAATATTGGCTGAACTTTTCATGCTATGTATTTATGTCATTTCATGAAACAAAATATTTTAACATTTAATATCAAGGCCAAAAATATGTTTTTATAGTCTTAATGACTGAAGAAAGCCTGATGCTGCTTGATTGGTGATGAAAAAATACATCTTTTATTTCAATGAAAAAAAAAACACAATGTTTGCGATAATTGATTTTTTATTAAATATTTACATAAGGTAAAAATAAACCTTCATGTGATGTTAAAATAAAAAATAACCAATATGCTTATTTTATGCAGCCACCATTAAAAAAAACAGAAGCAAGGCTGCGATTTCAAAATGCAGATATGGTGTAAACATCACCTTAATATTATTCAGTTAAGATTTATTTAAACAACTAAAAGCATATTCGGCATCAAACAAAATCACAATCTCTTTAGGAGTCATATATGCTAAAGTGTCCTCCTAGGCTTCAGGTCATGGCACCAGGTAAACACCATGAGGACGCTTCTCTGCTTCTTCTGAGTGATAAAACTATGTAGTTCTATGTAGCACACCCTTGTGTTGTCTGTAATATTGTTGTCCCAGTACTGAAATTTTAAAATCATCCATTTCCTGCTAACATTAAAGCGCTGCTGAGCGTGCTTTTAAACACTGCTGATTTGCCATAGTTTTCACCAGTGCTCAACAGAAATGACTGATTGGATGTGAAGGTCATCAGTTCACCGCTCTTCACAGATTACTATCACAGATACACGGACATTAGAGTGTTTTAAAGCCATGAAGATCAGTCAATACATTAAGTATACTTCTCCAATGAGTTTGCACTCGGTGAAGTGCGGTAAACTGATGACCTTCAAGGCCAATTACAGTAATTTCTGTTGAGCATGTGAACACAATAGCAAATCAGAGCTGTTTAAGAATGCCATCAACTGTGCCTTAAATGTTAACAGGAAATGGATGTTTTTTTAAAATTTCAGTACAGAAATTTTGTATCCTGACAGGTCTAATATGGTGAAAAAATCAGTTCCCCTTCGGTTGGGGAACTTCAGTGCCATAAGTGGATGAAATCCACGATGGGAGGATTCGGATCAGAAGCCGCTTGTCTGGAGAGTATTGAACGGGCCAATGAATGAAATTAATTGGCAGCGTAAGCTTGCGCAGGTGTGCGGCATCTGCAATTATCTCAGCATATAAGCACAGCTGAAGCCAGCAGACGCCATCCTTTTCGCTTCAGATCCTTTCTGAGTGAGTCGATGAGGGTTCCTGATCAGCACTTCAGAGCGAACGAGTGTGTCTCCCGGTCCAGAGTGGGTTTTCGCGGTGGCAGACGGTCGAGCTGGGTTTCTCCCTTGCCTGCGGTTCTTTGGGTCCGGTCCTCCAGAGCGGTGCGTATTGTTGCAAACTTTCCTAAAAGAGCAACACAGTCGTGCAGCACGTCCTTTTCAGGATGGCGTTTCGACTGTGCGTTTCTGGATGCGGGGGTTTCCTGGCTCCGGATGATGGACACGATCACTGCATTGCATGTTTGGGGGTCCAGCATGTTAATGCGGTGCTCGCGGGCGGTTCATGTCGTCATTGCGATGCCATGACCGTTGCACAGCTAAGATCGCGGCTAACTTTCGCAAGAGAGCGAGCCACCCCAGTTGCCTCCTGTTCTAAAAAAGCAGCAGGCGCTCGGGCAGATCTGAGGGTTTCAGCGGGAGATAATCCGCCGCCCACAGGCTCGCGGACCTCTCGCTCCTCACGGCGCTCCATCCAAGCTTCGGGTAGTGGGAGTGATCCGTCTAACCAGATGGTAGCTCTCACACTCGCTGACACCGGAGATCAGATGTCCTCTGCGGCATCGGAGGGTGGGCTTTCACTGTCCGATGAAGATCCGGACCCGCTCGCCCCCTCCAGGCAGGTGAGCGCTGTAAAAACCGGATCCTGAAGCGGACATGTTAGCCGTGCTTTCCCGGGCTGCTTCGGCCGTGGGGTTGGAGATGGTTTATCCCCCAGCTCCGCGGCCGGACCGACTAGATGGGTGCTACGTAGAGGACCAGAAGGCGAAGCCTTCGAAGCCTCTCGTCCCCTTCTTCCCGGAAGTGCACAGTAGGCTCACGCAGTCTTGGAGGGCACCTTTCTCTGCCCGTGCTGCATGTGCCTCCGCCCTCACCGCCCTTGACGGCGGAGCTGCCAGGGGGTATGAGGCGATCCCGTCAGTGGAGCGCGCTATCGCGGTCAATCTTTGTCCGCGCGGCGCCTCTACGTGGCGGGGTTTGCCCCGCCTCCCGTCCAAAGCCTGTAGGTTGTCTGCCTCCCTCGGAGCCAGAGCTTATAAGGCTGCGGGCCAGGCTGCTTCTGCTTTGCACGCGATGGCCACCTACCAGCGCTACCAAACGCAGGTGCTGGCCGAGCTGGACGAGGGCGGATCCAACCCAAGCTTATTACATGAGCTGCGCACCGCGACCGACTATGCTCTTCGGACTACTAAGTCCGCCGCGTGTGCGCTGGGGTGGACGATGTCCACACTTGTGGTTCAGGAACGCCACCTCTGGCTAAACCTGGCCGATATGCGCGATGTTGACAAAGTTCGCTTTCTTGACTCGCCCATATCCCAGGCTGGCCTGTTCGGCGACACCGTCGGTGAATTCACCCAGGAATTCAAGGCGGTGAAAGAGCAGTCGGATGCGATGGGCAATGTCATCTATCGGCGTGGCCGTAAGCCCGCTCCGCCCGCCGAGCCATCCACCTCCGCTGTTCCTCGCCGAGGGCGCCCGCCAACGAGTGCTGCCCCGCCCCCGCCAGCGCCTCCGGCCAAGCGGGCGCGGCGTACACCTCGAAAGCAGGCAGCCCCTCCTGCCCAGGGCGCCGTTAAGTCCGGTAAACGGATCGCGAAGCGTCCCTGAGACAGGCTATCCGGAGAAGAGGAAACTTGCTCTTTCCCCGCTGGAGGGTGGGGCCCCGATAACAACGGTACTTTTCAGTGCCACCAAAACATCAGTAAAAGAGCACTTTTTCCCTTCCCCGGATGTGACTGCACGAGTTCTGCCAGTCCGGGACGCGCTGCCTTCCGGCTCGCAGACTCTACGTGCTTCGCCAGTGGCTCACGAGCGCTGGGGGGACGGTCTCCCTTCCCTCAGCCCTCCAGCCCCCTCTCCGGAGTCAGGGTGCGGAGCCAGAGCGAATCGCTCTCCTCCAGCTCTTTCGCGGGACCCTCGTGCTTCCCGGATCAGCACACCCACTCCGCGCTGCCCCACCGCTGGTACGTCAGCGATTGTAGCGATGACTCCATTAGCGAGGGCTCTGCCTGCCTGGTTAGCGCGGGCCAGCCCCTCGCTGTGGCTCATACGCACAATCAGACTCGGTTACGCGATTCAGTTCGCGAAACGGCCCCCCAAGTTTACGGGCGTGTATTTCTCCAGGGTCAACCCCCTGTCCGCCCCTGTCTTGCGAGAGGAGATTGCTGCCCTCCTGGCGAAGGGTGCAATCGAGCCGGTTCCTCCAGCCGAGATGGAGAGTGGGTTTTACAGCCCATACTTCATCGTACCCAAAAAGAGCGGTGGGTCACGGCCAATCCTAGATCTGCGCGTTTTGAACCGCTGTCTGCACAGGCTGCCGTTCAGAATGCTCACGCAGAGGCGCATTCTCCAATGCGTTCGTCCTCAGGATTGGTTTGCAGCCATAGACCTGAAGGACGCGTATTTCCATGTCTCCATTCTTCCACGCCACCGCCAATTTCTGCGGTTTGCGTTCGAGGGTCGAGCGTGGCAGTACAAGGTCCTCCTCTTCGGGCTCTCTCTGTCTCCGCGGGTCTTCACCAAACTCGCGGAGGGTGCCCTAGCGCCCCTTCGGCTCGCAGGCATTCGCATACTCAATTATCTCGACGACTGGCTGATTTTAGCCCACTCGCGGGAGCAATTGATTATGCACAGGGACAAGGTGCTTCGGCATCTCCGCCTACTGGGGCTTCAGGTCAACCAAGAAAAGAGCAAACTCGCCCCCGTGCAGAGGATTTCTTTTCTCGGGATGGAGCTGGACTCGATCACCATGGTAGCGCACCTCTCCGAGGAACGCGCTCGCCTGTTGCTGAACTGTCTGAGGGAGCTCGACAGCAAACTAGTGGTCCCACTGAAGTTCTTTCAGAGGCTCCTGGGGCATATGGCATCCGCAGCCGCCGTCACGCCGCTCGGGTTGCTCCATATGAGACCACTTCAGCACTGGCTTCACGATCGCACTGGCACTGGCACGCGGGCACACACCGGGTCTCGGTTACTGCGCTGTGTCGCCGCGCCCTCAGCCCTTGGAACGACCCCTCGTTCCTACAGGCCGGTGTGCCTCTAGGACAGGCGTCCAGCCATGTTGTTGTTTCAACAGACGCTTCCAACACGGGTTGGGGGGCCGTGTGTCGCGGGCATGCGGCTGCGGGCCTGTGGAAGGGTGCCCAGCTGCATTGGCATATCAATCGCCTAGAGCTGTTGGCAGTGTTCCTCGCTCTCCACCGCTTTTTACCGGTGCTGGAGCGGCAACACGTGCTGGTCAGGACGGACAGTATGGCGGCGGCGGCGTATATCAACCGCATGGGGGGTATGCGCTCTCGCCGCATGTCTCAGCTCGCCCGCCGTCTGCTCCTCTGGAGTAACCCGCAGCTGAAATCGCTGCGCGCCATTTACGTTCCAGGCACGCTCAATCGTGCAGCCGATGCGCTCTCATGACAGCTGTTACGCCCTGGAGAATGGAGACTCCACCCCGAGTCTGTTCAGCTGATATGGGCGCGATTCGGGGAGGCCCAGATCGATCTGTTTGCTTCCCCCGAGAACGCTCACTGCCAGTTGTTTTTTTCCCTGACCGAGGGCTCTCTCGGCACGGATGCACTGGCCCACAGCTGGCCTCGGGGCATGCGCAAGTATGCGTTTCCCCCAGTGAGCCTGCTCGCGCAGTTTCTGTGCAAGGTCAGGGAGGACGAGGAACAGGTTCTGCTAGTTGCGCCCCTTTGGCCCAACCGGACCTGGATATCAGAGCTCTCACTCCTCGCGACGGCCCTCCCCTGGCGGATCCCTTTGAGAGAGGACCTACTCTCTCAGGGACAGGGCACCATCTGGCACCCTCGCCCCGATCTTTGGAACCTCCACGTGTGGTTCTTAGACGCGAGGAAGACTTAGGTAACCTACCGACTGCGGTGGTTAATACCATCACTCAGGCTAGAACCCCCTCCACGAGGCGCGCCTACGCCCTGAAGTGGAGTCTATTCACTGAATGGTGCGTCTCTCGCAGAGAAGACCCCCGAAATTGCCAGATTAGTGTTGTGCTCTCTTTCCTTCAAGAGAAGTTGGACAGCAGGCTGTCGCCCTCCACTCTCAAGGTTTACGTGGCCGCCATCTCCGCTTATCATAGCGCGGTAGCTGGCGGCACCGTGGGAAAGCATAACCTGGTCATCCAGTTCCTTAGGGGTGCTAGGCGAATTAATCCATCTCGCCCCCCTCTCATGTCCTCTTGGGATCTCGCCCTCGTTCTCACGAGTCTGCGATCCGATCCCTTTGAGCCACTCGAATCAGTATCTCTAAGATTTCTGTCCCTGAAGACAGCTCTGCTGGTTGCGTTGGCCTCCATCAAGAGGGTCGGGGACCTGGAGGCATTTTCGGTCAGTGACTCGTGCCTGGAATTCGGGCCGGATTACTCTCACGTCATCCTGAGACCCTGCCCCGGTTATGTGCCCAAAGTTCCTACCACCCCCTTTAGAGATCAGGTAGTGAACCTGCAAGCGCTGCCCCCGGAGGAGGCAGACCCAGCCCTTTCTTTACTTTGTCCAGTTCGCGCTCTGCGCATTTATGTGGACCGGATTATCCCACTGGATTGTGGATGCCATTTCACTCGCTTATTCGAGTCGAGGTCAGCCGTGTCCCCCGGGAGTACGTGCACACTCCACTCGGAGCGTTGCATCCTCTTGGGCGCGTGCACGCGGCGCCTCTCTAACAGACATCTGTAGAGCTGCGGGCTGGGCGACACCCAACACATTTGCAAGGTTTTACAATCTGCGAGTGGAGCCGGTTTCCTCAAGGGTATTAGGTAACCCTTTGGTGATTGAGGAGACAACTCGGTAGGGTGTTGAAACACGCTTGCTGCGCCATTCTCCCTAACACGGAGGTATGTGCGCCTTTTTATCTGTCAGTAAAGTTCCCCGTCAGGTGAGCCCTGCAGATTCCTCCGTGGCCCCCAGCACTGACTCAGCGGAGGAGTCACTTGCTGGCCCACTACGTCGTAGGTCTGCCCGCTGGTCAGCCCGCGTTTTGGGTATAGGTGCCTGCTATGCGTGATCCCCACTAGGCGATCCCATATGCTCATTCCGCCACAGTTAAGTCCCCCCCCTGGGCGGACCCGTGTCTTCCCTCTCCGCTAACCACGCTTTTGCTATGAGTACTCCCCCTTTTTAGGGCTAGTCCATATGTAATTCTGCCATCTATCCCCCCTTTGGGTAACGGATGGCCTCCGCAGCGTCCTCCCTATCGGGATTGCACGCTTCCCAACGTACTGTCGTATTTCCTAGAATTATCTAGATGCTCACGACTTCCCAAAAAATATATCTAAATCCGTAAAACTTCTGTTGAAGTAGGATAAATTAGGGCCAGGGACACGTTGGAGGACCGCGCCCCCCATGATGTGGGTGCGTCACGCTTGCTTGACTATCTCCTCATCGGGGGTGTTGGTAAGGTGCAGTCATTATGGCGCTTTCCATACTTCTCCCATCGTGGATTTCATCCACTTATGGCACTGAAGTTCCCCAACCGAAGGGGAACGTTCGAGGTTACAGAAGTAACCCTTCGTTCCCCGAGGAGGGGAACGGAAGTGCCATACTCCGTCGCCATAATGACTGTCCCTTAGCTGTTTGAAAGTCTCTTCAGCTTAAAAGGATGGCGTCTGCTGGCTTCAGGTGTGCTTATATGCTGAGATAATTGCAGATGCCACACACCTGCGCAAGCTTACGCTGCCAATTAATTTCATTCATTGGCCCGTTCAATACTCTCCAGACAAGCGGCTTCTGATCCGAATCCTCCCATCGTGGATTTCATCCACTTATGGCACTTCCGTTCCCCTCCTCGGGGAACGAAGGGTTACTTCTGTAACCTCGAAGGTTCATTAACTTGAGTTAGATAAATGGCATCTGAAACTTGTGTTTGGGAAAGAAAACGTTAGCTAACCAGTGCCATTTCTCTTAACTAAAAATGAGGTCTGATATCCCTTTTTATTTTCACTATTCATTCAAACCGGATCTTCGATTTACTCGAAGGGCTGTGAAAATATGAATATGTGTCATTTTCTTTTCGCTGATAAGATATACAGCCAGGTACACAGCATTCCTGTGTGACTCAGGCGATACTTCCAGGTTTCTTCCAACTGCAACCTCGATTTCGCTGTTTAAAATGGTGACTGGGTGAAATCAGTCTATAACTGCTTATACAATCACAAAATGTAGTAGATTAGTGGTTTAAAATTTCAACAACCCAACAACCCATATACATTTCTGGGGAGCGACATCTCTGGCTACATAATTCGAGACCTCCAGAAATTAATATAGGGCTACGTTTTCAGTATGAACCTATTATACATGAGTAAGTTACAGTTAAGACAGATGTACCCATTTTGTTTTGCAGTGGAAAGTTGTAAGCAAGCTAAAGCAGCTAAACTTGTTAATTAATGCTAAACCTTGTTTGTCACAAAACAACACACTGGTGTTTTGTTTCGTAATTAATCTATTTTTGAATGAACCAAGTGAATGATTCAATGATCTACTCATTAAATTGTTCACTTGCTTCTTTTCTAAATGAAGCAGCAGTTTTGAATGAATCATTTCAATGGCTAATTCAATTAATTCTTCTGTAGCAGTACTAACAATATTTTATTTTGAATAAAAGAAAGATTAACATCTACTCACCATAACCACCAAATTTTCCATGGTGGCCCCTAGAGCTTCAAGTGATTCAGGTTCATCAGTCGGCCTCTTGTAGTGAAAGGCTGTTCCTGCAATGTCAAACTTGCGAGGCCAGTCAATGGTCCAGGCTCCATTGATGTAATAGTCATCTCCCTCCGATTTCAAAGCTGTGACAGCGAGAGCACATGTTAATAACCCAACATGAGTTAGAGAGTGATGTCATTGCTGTCATTCATCAACACGATCATCATCTTAGAGAGAAGCACAGGCTTCCTGATGTCAGGGGTCATTTCTAATCTCACTTTCAGTCACTGCGCAGCTTCAAGATCTCAGCTCTCAGGTGAAAGTCTGCTTTCTTCACACATGCCATCAACGCTCACTTGACCTAATATTTAGGACAAATTGTCGAAAAATCCAGATGTTTTGTTTTTGACAATGCGGTGTCGCAGTAGATAGTGCTGTAGCCTAACAGCAAGAAGGTAGCTGATTCGAGCCTCGGCTGGGTCAGTTGGCATTTCTGTGTGGAGTTTGCATGTTCACGTGGGTTTCCTCCGGTTACCCCCATAGTCCAAAGACATGCAATACAGGTGAATTGGGTAGGCTAAATTGTCCGTAGTATAGTAAGTGTGAATGAGTGTGTATGGATGGTTTCCAGAGATGGGTTGCAGCTGGAAGGGCATCCGCTATATAAAAAATATGCTGGATAAGTTGGCAGTTCATTCCACTGTAGAGACCCCAGATTAATTAAGGGATTAAGCCGAAAAGAAAATTAATAAATGATTGATTTGTTTTTGCTACAATTTAAGAATACTTCAAGTTGTTTTTTAAAAGGTACACCAATTTTTTTTTAAGTGTTAAACAAAGAAATTAACTGTCATTATAAAAAAAACCTTTAAATGGAAAAGTATTTAGTTGAATATGTTAGCTAAATATTATCCTGGTAAAAAAAATATGGGTAAAATCAACAAATTGTAGTGCAAGATCAATTGTGAATTGTATAAAATGAAAATGAACTATGAACTTTGAACTTTTATAAAGAACTATAAATTTCTTTAGTTTTTCTTTACACTGTAAAATCTAATAGCTTTGCTGACTCATATATAGTTAGTTAGCTTTACTTAATAATTTAAAATACATATTTCATATAAGGTTTTGTAGAGTTACAGTAACTTGCAGGGTGAAAATAATAATTTACTCAAACGTCAAACTTGTAATTTAATCAATTGGAGGCCTGTTGGCTAATCTTCAACATGTTTTACACTAAACAACATGTTCATGGTGAATCAAATGTATATTGTATATGTGTTTAAATGTTATTTACTGAATTGTTAGTTTGAAACTAAAAATTGTTTGTTGAGGATCTATTAGTAGTTAGGGTATGGTCTCATAAACAGAAAATATTTTTAAAAATGGATATTCATTGCTTAATTTTCTTTCGACTTAGTCCTTGATTTATCTGGGGTCGCCAACTACTCCAGCATATGTTCTATGCAGCGGATTACCTTCCAGTCGTAACCCAGATAAGTGTGTTTCCCAAACAACGACATAACTGAACTATCATAGTGCGATGCACAGCTTGTCAAAAGAACGATGTAGTGATGAGTGTTTTCCAAAACCCATAGTTGCTTTTTCACAGATCTATCGTTTGAACCACATTTGTTTTATTATAAAACATCCATAATGATTCTGTAAACGTAGTGGAGTAACAACTTCTTTAGAGAATAACCTTATAATTTTTGTGCAAATTATATTGCTTTACACACAAAAAAACTCCACTATTAGTTTTAGTAAAAAAAAAAAAAAAAACATGCACTCGTTAAATGGCATTTAATGTTTTTAAAGTGCATTGTGAAGGGAGCGCAATATGACGTCAACGTCAATATGACAATTGATAAAACTGAACTGTATAAATATCCTGAAAGTATTTTTAGGGCATAGTGGGGATAACTGAGAATAAAACACAACTAGGAACTATGTTTAACTACAGCTCTAGAGGTATAGTTGTGAGTGTACACGTTTGCGACGCGGTTTGCGAATGTTCATTGAAACTATAGATTTGACAAACTATTTTTGTAACATTGGAAATGCAACTACTGTAAGTTGGTTATTGATGGTTTTTGAAAGCACACCCCTAGGAAACACAAAAGTACTAAGACAAGTATATCTGAAGAAAATGATCAAGTATACTATACAAAGTAATTTTAGGTTACTGGAACTCTCTAGTAAGTGCACAATAGTAGACAGGCACTTGTTGGTACTACTTCCTATTTTACCGTACTTGTTTTTTTAAGGCAATCGGTTTGCATGCTTTGTTTAAAGAAAGATTTACTAATTGGATTTTAGTATAAAAAAAAACAAATTTGGCAAAATAGTTTTATGTTTAAACAACCTTTTTCTAAAAAATATAAGCTTTAAAAACCACAGAAACAAAAGTACAAACGAATTGTAAATAATTTGTCTTAATAGTGTCTGTGAACAGAAATTTTAAAAAATTAAGAATTTGCATCTTGTACACACCTAGAATTAATATTTTGCCAATTAGACAGTGACTAAGTTTACCTGGACATCATTACTTGAATTATTTGCATTAATCCTAATAAGACAATAATAAAATGAAGGAGTTTCCATAAGTTGCTTTTTGAATCTTCATTTCATGATCCTGTTTTGCATAATTCGATTAACATTATCGTCACAACACTATCCACGTTTCCTCCAAAGTTTCATGTAATTTTGGGTGTTTCATTTTCAATTTGTTGACTTTAACTGCAGTTCGGCTGTTTCACTTTCATTTAGGAACATTTCATGCATGCCCCCAGTGGCAAACGAGATATTGGATGTGAGTTTGAACTGCTGGAAGAGTGTTGTGTTAACAGAATTTGATAGATTTTGTAATGCAGGTGTCTGTGGTCCTTCACTGACTTGGTAGGTGCAGAGAATAATGTCAAACAGCTGTGTATGTAAAGACTATTCTGTCACAAAATGTGGCAGAAATGTTGGAGGTAATAGTTTGGTTAAGGTGTTTATATGTCTGTGCAGCACTTTAATAATGAGACTAAAATTGGCATACTCCACATGTCTTAATCCCATGTTTGTTTAGTTCGATTATGACCTTAATCGGATTAAATTAATCTAAAATCCCTGTTTACTTGATAGACTCTTGGTAGAGTATTGTCTTAATCCTGTTAAAATCGGATTATTGGTGGCCATGTAAACATAAATTATATAATATACACTAGACAATACTAACCAGAATACAGTTGGTTCAGGTAGAAATAAAATGAAAAGACTGACATTAGACATCACCTGAACCAATTCTGCATGCATGCTGTCTTTATTAGCCAAATACTTGTCAAACATTAAGAGTCAAATGTTCCTCTATTGAAACAGGGCCATGTGTTTGTATTCGACAAACATGGCATGCAAATCTAAAAGAGAATAAATGAGTGTTTTATAATTTCATTAAATATGCTCACAATCTCTGCACCAGAACACAACCAGAAGAGAACTTTGCATCAGTATGACATACAAAAAAATTCAACAAGCTGTCATACACATAGCCTATATTTATGTCTGCACTCAAAACAACTTAATTGGACCCGCTTGTTTGATTGTTTTAATTAGTTGCCATGATGGTTTTACTCAGCTTGCGGTTGGAAAAAGACAAAGGGCCCGTCTTAAGACAAACTGCAAATATAAAACATGAGAGCAAGGATGCTGTCACACTGATCCAGATTTACACCCAAAACAAAGTCTAGCACAAACCACTTCACCACTTTGTACCCAGGATGCCTTTGTGAACAAAGCTTTCAAGAAGATAAATACAAACACTCACCAATGTAGTTCTTTGACACGGCCACTTCTCTGATTTCAATGTGAACCGACCCTTTTGGTATCTGGACGACCTCCATGTAACCTGCAAAATGTACAGCTTTATTTTAAACATGTACAAAATAAAGCAGTATTTTGCTGTTGTCTGTAAATGTACATATGTGCACGTTTTGGTTTTAAAGGAATTTTTTGCATGGTGGGTGCTGCTAACCTCAATGGCAATATTTTTAGGCAATGATGATCCTCTAATCAACCAGTCTGCCCAACGTATGTATTTAGTGATATTTTTAGGAGTGGTTCTTAAATGAATATGTTAAGTGATAATTAGCATTAGTAAAAGTAGTGAATTTTTTGTCTTGAGTTTATTTTTTAAAAGCTAACCACATGTGTTAAGGCATTTTTAAGACAAGTCTTTCTTAGAACGTTGTGCAGTTTTGCATACTCCACTGTGATTCTGCAATTACTTTAAAAAATAAAAGAAAAAATATGTTAATTGTTGCCTTTTTTAAATAACTTCTAAATTGTTTACTCATTACTTTTTAAAGCCATTACAGATAGTTGTATGAGTAAAAAATAGGCAACCACATACTGAAACCACATACTTCCTTACTATATAGCACGCTAAAATTGGTATGCGAGCCAAGTAGTATGTCCAAATTCATAGAATTCAAAAATTCGAGAAGAACCCGGATGTCCTACTACTTCTGGCGAGATTCTGAAGTGCGCATGCCATATACACTGCGCTATCCAATGATGCCCCGAATTCAGAATTCATGAATGGGAGTGAAGCGATGCAACTCTTGAGGGTAGGTCAGGTGAACTGTCTTTTCATTACAAAACTGTCACATTTAAGATCTGACTTCTTTAAAAAATCTGCGATCTACACTGCCTATTAAATATGCAATATGAAGTGGGTCTCAGATCGGACAGGAAGCACTGCATTATATTTCATTTCCCCCTGCCATGTCTTTAAAATATGACAGTTTATTTTACCCCAGTATTTTCAAAGGAATTTCTCCGCTAGCCTGTTGCTACTGACGACGCTACTGGTTACAACGGTCTTTAATCTCGTTTCACACTTGAAAAACTAAATGAATGCTTAAGTCTATTAAAGTAAATGTATTGTAACATTACAACATCGATGCTGTAAAAACAACCTTGTGAATTTGAAAATAGTCACATTAAGTTTTTTTTTCCGGAAGTTTATCATTGGCTTTAAAACTCTAGCTGTGCATAGAGCCTTTTCCATTCATACTACACACATTCATACTGCATATAGCGTACTTTTCTAATGGCCGAGTAATATGTTTAAATCCAAATGCAGAACCTACTGAGCAGTACGCAGATACTTTAAAGTGTTCTTCTAAAAATGCTTAGCTGTGAGAGCTTCTCTGCCTATCTATGCCAATAAAGCGATGCAGTAGGTTGTGCTGTCACCTTACAGCAAGAAGGTCGCTGGGTCGCTGGTTCGAGCCTCGGCTCAGTTAGAGTTTCTGTGTGGAGTTGCATTGATGAAGCCAATTAAGTTAATTAAATTCCAGTTATAAAAGCAAAACAACAAACATCCTTTTATGGGTTTGTTTTTATGCTTGTAATATATTATAGAGCAATATAACATATTATATTACTATTATTACATATTATATTAATATCACACAATAAAAAGAACTATTAATGAATATCACAGTAATCACAAATGCACTACTGATTTTATACAACAGTTCAAGAAATATTGAGTGAGTTTATACACAATATTTATACTGGCATTATATACACACTTTTTTCTATTTCATCATCAAAAATTGTTCCAAGTAAAACCAAGGCAGAACATTTGTGCATCTCTGAGTGACACTGTGGAGTTTTGGATGGTAACTAATCTGTGGAGTTTTGGATGCAACTGTGCTGTAAAACCATTGCTTAGCTGTAATTGTTAATTTAAAGTGCACTTGTATTTTCACCGGTAATGCTGTAATTTTTTTTAGTGTACCTTCAATTCTTGATACAGTCATGGATTTATTCATGACAGGTCTAAACCAGACAATATACCAGCATCAAAACACACTCAGCAAAATATTGATAACTGCTAAGAGAACTTTGTGAGATTATTTGCAACCCAAAGTATTCACAGCTAAATCCTATTAGCTGCAGACAGCGTTTCATGAAAACAGAAAAGGGCAAAGAGCACAACTGTATTCGAGCAGAATCCCAGCATGCTCCAAGAAAACCTAACTAACTTAGCAACAGCAAATTCATTACAAGAGAAGAATCTACACTGTTCCCTTCACTCCCCCTTAAAGTTCCAGATGATTTAACAGCTATACCTTAAAAGGAGAAAACAGTCCCTTACTAAAGAGAATACTTTTGGATGTGGCCAGACGAATGCGTATAATATTAGAAGTTTTATTGATTCTCTTACTGGATGATGCCATTAATACTCATATATTGTGTTACCGCTTCTATTTTGACAACTTGTTTCTTGACCCAAAAACAAAAGCTTTATCATGGTTGTCTGATAAAAAAAAAGACCACAGCATTTCCATGAAAAATGTCAAGCTTGGCCAAAGCGCCCCGTTGGCCCCTTGACAGGAGCCACTGCCAAAAAGACAATGCGTTCCTCCACTGGCTTGTGCTGTGCTTTCTTCGAGTGGGATTTCTCTAGTGGAAAGCGATTAAAAACTTGTCGCGTTTGGCAGACGTGTGGCCCGTCTCTGGAATGAGATTTTGAGGAGAGAGCTTGTCTGCGTTGTGCTCCTCTTTTTTTTTGCCAAAAGAAAACAAATGAACGAATGAGGAAAAATTGTTGTATTAATCTTGATCCATACATCTAAGCATCTAAGCACTGTACTTTATGTTTTGATATGCTTTACAAACTTTAGATATCCAAAAGATTATACACGTGTTCATCTAATTGCAGGGACAATTCCTATAGAGTTTTATGAATAAGGAATTATGAGGGGTTATTTGCTGGTAGTTTGTGAACTAATCAATAATAATATTTAGCCATATCCAATGTCATAGTAAAATAAATAAACAGGCCTGCAGAGAAATTGCTGTGTAGCTTAGTACAATTATTAAATCAGTGATTGCAATTCTGAAAATTACTGAATGCACAGCGTAGATTATTTCGTATTTAGAAAGTTCCACAGTCAATGCTCCATCTCTGCATTTGTTGAACTTTTAGCATGAATTTTGGTAGCACTTTTTTTGACAAAAGGTTTTACAAAATTTTAAACGCACTAAAAATACATGCTTAAGACTTCAAGGATTTAGAAATTGAAAGTGTCAAATAAATTAGTATTGTAAGCCTGTAGAGTTAAATAAATTAATATCAAAATAGCTAAATAATGAAATAACATTTTGTTAAATTAAAATTATGGTAACACTTTAGTTTAGGTCACTGTTCATTGTATATACAAACCATTAACTAGCACTACTAGCTTAATAAACTACTAATTCACTGTTTAATAAGAGTAAGTAAAGTAGAAGTTGGGTTTGGGTTTTGGGTAGGATTAGGGATGCAGAATAGGATTATACTTTATAACTTCTAATGGACAATTAGTATCTTAATAATTGGCAGGTTATAAGTCAGTAGTTAACAGCATGAGTTGTGACCTAAACTAAAGTGTTACCAATAATTTTAATTTAACATAAATTTATTATATGTTTGTCTTTTTTTGCTTAAAACATTATTCATAATTTTTGTTTGATTTAATTAAGTGTTTAAATGCAGATATCAACTGAGACACAGCTAAACATATATTTAAATTAATTTTAAAGTCAAATTAAAATGCTTACTAATAAAACATTAAGAATATTATAAATTTACTTGCTTGTTATGTGACCATTAACCAACAGCACAGAAGCATGAACAAGCAAATGCGAGGGTAAATTATAACTTCTCAATAGGTTTCACGTTTCTTAATTCAATATTCACTGCAAAAAAATGCTGGGTTCAATGCAAATCCTTCATGTAGTCCCAACAACACAAATCAATTAATTAATTAGGTTGTTTTTACAAATATATGTAGTTTGATAATAAAACAATTAAGTTGTCCAAAAAAAAAAAAACTCAAGAATTGTGTTGATTCTTTGAACAAGCCGCAAAAATAATTTTAAAATGTTGTTGTACTTTATGTATAAATTTGAAGGAATTCAACTGACAATAAAAATAAAAATAAAACCATTAGGAAACTCTTGCCATATAATTCTTTCTTCATACTTCAACATTGTCTGGAATCAAACCTTCTAACTTTCTGGTTACACCAGCCACTGTAAAAAATATCTGTGTTTTCCATTTATTTACGGTTGTGAATTGCATTTTGGGAACTTGATCTCTGCTCGGTCCACTTTTGATGTTAAAAATTCAACTCTACAGTTAAACAAAGTGACTTTTATTGACATTTTAAGTCCAGGGTATATGCAGGAACCCTAAAGATAATTTCAATACCTTTTAAAGACTTTTTAAAGACCTTCTCTGAATATTTTAGGACCTCAAGTTTCAACCAAGTTCTAATCAGTATCAAACCTTTATTTTAAAAAAACATTTGTTAATAAACAGTTTAGTTAAATAAATCAATAAAACACAAAAAGCAACAGAATTCAGATAAGCTCAGAAGAAGAAAAAAACTTGAATAAATTAAAATAATAAATTACGCAGTTATTTTGAGTGACAGGCTTCAGCCATTGTTTAAACTTGTCTTTCTCCAACCAGGAGTGCACAAATTTACATTTTCCCATCTTTTCGCTCTATGGTTTCGGTACATGTGAAGAGCATCAGATTACCTTTCTATGTTTGTTGCAAATTATGTGACATCACCCAGACGGAGGAGCTTGGCCGGACGCAGCCCAGCCCAAACCAATCGTGTGGATCAAGCACGCTGTTGTTAATATTAGGAGAAAAATAAATATATATTCACCCTTTTTTTGAAGTCTATGGACTATCTCACTATGGACAGAGCTTGAACAAAATTTAAGACCTCGTATAAACACAATTAAGACTTTTAAATATCTTTTAAGGGCCTTAATTTTCTTATAATTGAATAATCAACTTTTAATACTTTTTATGACCCCATGGACACCCTGTAGTAGTTTACAGTATTATAATATAAAAGAAAAAATATAGAGTAATAAGTATGTAAAATAACAGAAAATGTACTGGCAGTTTATAACAAGGTTTTAACACCAACCTAGAAAATGTATCACTTTAAACTATTAAAAATGTTAATAAAAGTCCCCTTTTAAAACTTTTCAATGTTAAAAGTTGCTGGAAGAAAAATCAAAGTCCCATAATGCAATTCAAAAGCATAAAAAATAAAAACATCAATCACTAAATATGGAAAACTGCTAATTTACGGATATGTAGGTTACATCCTGCATATTTTCTGACAATGGATAACTTATAGAAGATGGTGAAATGTAGATTTTGATTTATGAGGGGTGTATGAGTGTCCTCCTGACCTCCTCTGGGCAGTGAGTCGTTGAAAAGGCCTTCGGTGAGCTCACACGTGCTGCCGTCTCCTCCACACACACGGCATCTGTCCTCCTTGGCATCTGAGCCCAATATATTATCACAGCCAACATGCTGAAGAAACACAGACAGAAAAAAAAAACAGACATGTCCTCAGATCTGATTCACAGACAAACATGTCATTCACACAGCTGCATTCGGTCTCAATCTGACACAAAAAGACAAACGGCTCTGGTTTCGCTTTAGGACCGTGATTTTAACAGAGTACTGAGATTATTTACAGCACTGTGCGAAATTAAATAAAAACATACTTTAAATCAAACCTTGAAATCTGTTGATATGACAGGCTGATTATGAAAAGTGACATTTTTGTACGTGCGTAAACAATTGCAGAGGCATGAGCTCCAGTGTATTTATAGCGTTTCAGTTTAGTTCTAGTGTTTTGTTCCTGAATTTTGTTGGTTTTATGGTCTCGGCAGTCAATTATTCACCACACAAAGCACATTGTGGTCGGAACAAACTATGTTTATCTGTGTTGTGTCAAATTGTCTTTTATCTTGCTTGGTTTTGGTCACGAGGGCACGTCTGTTCATGTGGACATTTGTCTAACCTGACTGTCTTTTACCAAAGTACGAGTGAATTTGAGGCCAAAATACCATAAAGTTGATATGAACAAACAACCTTTGATTACACTGACATTGATCCTAAAATAAACCACTTTTAGATTTCTACCAGCAGTACTTTTACACTGTTAAAAAAAATATGTAATATATATGTTCAATATGTCAAGCCAATGTATGTTTTTATGTTACTTCAACTTTCATTTTTATTTCATTTTCTTCTGCTTATCCTGGGCCGGGTCACGTGTACAGAAGTCTTAGGAGAGAACCCCAGACTTCCCTCTTAACAGACACTTTCTCCAGCTCCTCCAGGGGGATTCCCAGGCATTCCCCGGCCAGCCGAGAGACATAATCCCTTTAGGGTGTCCAGGGACCTCCCAGAGGCCTCCTCCCTGTGGGACATGCCTTGAACACCTTCCTAGGTAGGTGTCCAGGAGGCATTCGAAACAGATGCCTGAGCCACCTCAGCTGACTTCTCTCAATGTGGAGGAGTAGCAGTTCTACTCCGAGATCCTCCCTGGTGACAAAGCTCCTCCTCCTATCTATAAGGGTGCACCCTGCCACCAGACATTTTAGCCACTGGTATCAGAGATCTTGCCTTTCGTTCATAATCCAAATCTCATGACCATAGGTCAGAGTAGGAAGGTAAACTGACCGATAAATAAAAGGCTTTGCCTTTCGGCTCAGCTCCTCCTTCACCACAATGAACTGGTACATTGACCACATTACTGTCAATCAGCCTGCCAATCTCACATTCCATCCTTTCCTCAATTGTGAACAAGTGAACAACCCTCCTCTCCCTGGGGTTAGGAATTTCCTCGAACCTAGAGATGTCAAACCACCTTTTTCCGGTGGAGCATCATGGCCTCTAGCCTTAACTTACCACTTATTTTTAATGGAATTGAACTTGACACTTTAAGTCAGATTAATGAAAAACAAGTTGATATTACTTGTAAAGTTAATTTACTTAACAATTTACAACAAAAAAAAATGTGATAGACACATGCTTAAAAAATCATCACCTGATGAAGACCATGTAGGTTAAAAAGTTGTCAAATTAAATTTGTCTTTTGAGAGCTAAAGTATCAGTGTACTGATTTTTGGACTTTTTTCTATTGTGTTTGGCTTGATTGAGCACCCTTTAAGATTTTTCTAGATGTTTGCACACTGATGCCATTCTTTCTAGACGCATGTTTAACAATGTTGTGCCAAGTGTGTTAAATCATGGTGGGAAGATGTTAGAAATGCTAAAAGCATGCTAGCAACATGCTAAATTATGGTACATCTGTATTGATTTTGTTCATGAGTACAAGTCACGCCGCCTGTCCACGTGGGCATTTTTCTCACCTGACGGGCTTTAACCAAATTATCAATGAATTTTAAGCCGAAAAACTAAGTTGGACCGGACAAAAAAAACTTTGATTACATTTGTATGGTATTAAAATAAATGAGTTTCAACAATATACTTTCACTACTTCTACACTGTATATTATGATGAATAGGCCAACTTGTGTTTTAATTTCACTTATTAAAAGAGGTTACTCACATTTCAACTTATTTTTTATTAAATGTGATTCAACTTTACGCTTTAAGTTAGTTTAATATAATATAAATTACTTAATAACTTTCAATTTAAAATTCAATTATATTTAAAATATGAAGGTAGTAACATTCTGTTCTTTATCACACACAAAACAAATAGTGATTGGCTCAAACTATGTATTTCCATGTGTCAAATGTGTTAAGTCATGCTGATAGAATGGTCGTAATGCTGGCAACAAGCTAATCCACAGTAGTAGTACATTTTCTCCTTTGTCTTGCTTGGTTTTGCTCATTAGGCCAGGTCACGCACATAGTAAGTGTGGGCATTTATCTATGACTGGTTTCTACCAAAATACAATATCTTTAAAATGTGACTGCACAAACCAAATTTGAAGTAAAAAGTGCAATAATACGACTCGAAAATAGGCCGCTTTCAGTTTTTCTTACAATTTTACTTTAAAATGAAATGACCAATAAATCATCCAACATGTTTTTTTTGTTACTATAACTTTTTAAAAGTGTTTATCAATGTTTCAAAGAATTTTCCTTACACACTGCAACATTGATTTAATGCAATGTACTGTAAGTTGAAACTACTTGTGAAGTTAAGTTGATTCAACTCAACAATTTTTTCCATATTATCTTAACTTTTGTTAGCAATTTCTGAATAAATGTATATTAAAGTAAATCCTACTGTTTTATTTTCAATGTACACACAATTATGCACTATATTTTTGTTGATATTTTCATTTCGATTTAACATATTTACTATATAACATTTTTCATCTTAGAATGACAGGTGACCTAATTTTGTGTTGCAACCCATTAGTTGCAATTCAGTGAACTAGACAAAAGATTGAAGATTTGTATTTGATTTTATAAAAAGTCTCTGTGCTCCCACCATTATTAAACTGTAAGGGTCAACTCCAAAAGGCAATGAGAGGTTGCTGGATGCAGCACAGATCGATTCCTTAGAGTTTAAAAGAACATTGTGTGCATTTCATCGCTCCAGATCAGATCAAAGAGGAAGCCTTTGGGATCAATTAAAATAGTATCTTAAACCATATAAATCAAGGATGCAGACAACAATGTGTAAGCCTAACAAATACCAAACTGAGGACAAAACCTTTTCTAAATGGAGTTCGAAATCCATTTTAACCCCCAAAAAAATAAAGTGTTGTGCTTTTATGTCAAGCTGATTTGTTATACAAGTGATATTGTAAACGAAATAATATCATTCTCGACTAGTCTATATATGCCTTTCTAACCAACTTGAGAAAACACAATTAGATTCAGAGCTGTCCTGTCCTGATAAGAGGCTCTGAATCTTTATTTAGGATTCATTGTTCTGTGTAAGTGGTTGGCACGTTCTGTAGACTGTCTGACTTTCGGAAACTGTTAATGACTGATAAACATTTTAGTTTAGATTTAGATTTTGCATTTTAGGCTACGTACACACGGCATCAATTGTGTTTTTTGTTGTTGAGCAGATTCTGAATGTTTCGCATTCATAAATATATATCCTTTCAAGATGCATGAAAGAAACTTAAAACCAAGTTAATCAGAATAAAGCATAATTTTAAGCCAAAACCATTGTTGCGTGCCAATTTGCATACTATTCATCCTAAACTGTATTTGAAAATAAAATGTGTATGTTCCAAATCATAGTATGTTCTACTAGGCAATGAAATGCTCTACTATTTCTGGTAAAAATTTGAAGTGTAGGACCGTCTGAACTCTAACCTATAATATTGACCTCAATACATTGTGTGTTGGATGTGAATTCAATTACAACTACAAACTCATGTAAAAAGTGAAAACAAACTACTAACATAGCAGATGCGTGAGACCAACCATCAAGTAGAGGCTTTGATAAATTTGGTTGAATTACCCATAAACAATATCTAGCCAACTGGAAAATATTTCAATCATTTTCCACTTCATATTTCATCTGCAACAACAATGCAAACTTATATAAAAATTTAATATAGAAGGTTTGGACATTTGAATGTATGATTATCTAAAGACCTGGGGAGATTTCTCTCTATGGAAAACTCCCGAATGGCAGATTAACACATCTCTATATGGTAGGTAATTAAATGTAAAAGAAATGTGAATGATGTTTCAAGATGATTGACAGGAGACGTAACTAAGCAACATAATTGATCAACTGCGATCTAGCGGTTGCAGATCGCCAAAGGACTACAAATCCGCCATTTCATGGACTACAAAATCCAGTCATATACCGCTTACATACAGTACACGCTCTGCCCAAGTGGCTCTGCAGTAAGTACCACTTGAAAAAAGTACATAACATGTACAATGGGAATTGGAACACAGCATGTAGCATAGTAAACAAACACTGACAGAGCAACAGGACAAAAGTCAAAGAGAAATGCAGTAAGAATGTGCTTGAAGTCATTCAGCGTGCTGAGTACAGACATAAACACAAGAATACAATGGTATTATGTCGTCTAGTTGACATAGCATTACCTTGTTTAGTTGCAATAGTACTAATAGACTTAGAAGCGCTTTTAACACAAACACAGCTCTGAGATCCGCCATTGTTGTTGAACTTGTTGCTGCTTGCTTCTCAAGCGTCCCGCCTACTTATACTACGTTCTGAAAGTATGTACTCTTTTTGTAAAAGATCATGCAGGCTTCGGGACAGACTTTGGGGCATTGACACATCTTTCCACATTTCAGCCACAGATAAACCTAGTGAAAAGTTGATGCGATTGTTGTCAATGTATTAGGGTTTCTTTTACAGCATCTATATTGACGTTAAATTAAATAGACCGTTAAATAGATTTAAGCTTGCAGTTAGATAAAAGGCAGTGTAAATAAGCACTATGAAAAGCAGGAATATATATTAAAAATACTATGGTCACATAAATGTTCAAGACATAACATGAAACAGTAGAATTTGATGCAGTGCTTTTTGTTTGGAGTGAGACTCACTTTATTGTATCTCAAAGAGGCAGTGAACATCATAGGCTTTAAACAAGCTAGATCTTAATTGTGGGGAGTTTTTAATGGCATGACAGTTCAACACAGCAGTTTAATCTGCCATTCACGACAAGCAGATCTTTCAACCAGATTGCTGCAGGTGTTTGCATAACTACATTCAGAGGTTAATAGCCAGAGGTTAATAGCATCCATCCTGCTAATGTACAGTTGAAGTCAGATTTATTAGCCCCCCCTGTTTATTTTTTCCCCCAATTTCTGTTTAACGGAGAGAAGATTTTTTTTAAACACATTTTACACAATACTTTTAATAACTCATTTCTAATAACTGATTTATTTTGTCTTTGCCATGAGGACAGTAAATAATATTTTACTAGATATTTTTCAAGACACTTTTATACAGCCTAAAGTGACATTTAAAGGCTTAACTATGTTAATTAGGTTAACTAGGCAGGTTAGGGTAATTAGGCAAGTTATTGTTTAATGATGGCTTGTTCTGTATCTAAAACAAATATAGCTTAAAGGGGCTAATAATTTTGACCTTAACATGTTCTGTAAAAAATTTAAAACTGCTTTTTTTCTATGCAAAATAAAACAAATAAGACTTTCTCCAGAAGAAAAAATATTATCAGACATACTGTGAAAATTTCCTTGCTCTGTTAAACATAATTTGGAAAATATTAGCACTGTCACTTCACAAGTAGAAGGTCGCTGGTTCGAATCATAGCTGGACCAGGTGGTGCTTCTGTGTGGAGTTTGCATGTTCTCGTGGGTTTCCTCCAGGTGCTCCAGTGTCCCACACAGTCCAGAGACATGCTGTATCAGTAAATTAGATAGACTGAATTGGCTGTAGTGTATGAGTGTGTGTGGATGAGAGACTCCATAGGTGTTTCCCAGCAATGAGGGTTCACGAGTTGCGGGTTGTGGCTGGAAAGGTATCCGTGGTAATAAAATAAGGGACTAAGCTGAGGGAAAGTGAGTGAGTAAACTTCATTTCTTGTCTAATTAGTTTTGTTTTTTTTATTTATATGGATTACTTTGGTTGTTACCAACATCTGGAAAACATTCCAACTCAACAGCACCTTTAAAACTAGGTTTTCTGAAAAAAAGTTGACATGTTCAAAAATTTTCTAACCTTATATCTCAGAACAACTTGAGACTGTTCCTCACTTGAGCTTTTCATGACAAATTTAAATGAGCATGCAGCTTAAGAAATATGCAGTGAAATGATACCTCTCATACATAAAATAAAATCACTGCAGGTCAGATTTAGGCAGTAGACTCACCTTGCACTCTCCGTTGATGCAGATGTCCAGCGAGTCACCTTGGCAGCGCGTGCCATCAATGACAGCAGGCGAGCGCTCAGTGTAGAAGTTATAGCCTTCAGCCAGACAGTTCAAAGCACACGGTTTCACTCCACCTGAAAAACACGTCAAGTTTATGGTCAAACAGCTGATGTCACTCACTCGCTTTAACACCAGAGGAACCCTTTATCAGGTTATTGATGGGTCCCGAGGTCCCCGAAAACCTATTCACACCCCAGAAATGTCTGAGAGGCGGACACGATTTATTTCATACGATAAACTCAAAATCTATATGGAATAACAGAGTCAATCTCTCACCTCAGCAGCATTGCACTGATAAGTGATTCACTGACTGCTTTTCTTGCAGCCGGGCTTCTCAGACGGGGCCCACGGTTTTCTTTTATGCCTTTGTTGATATTAAGAATCCAGTCAAAGCACTCGAGCACAAGAGAGGCATTACTCATAGTGGAATCTGAACGTTTCGCCTGACATCATTACTGCACCGACACGGGGAGAGATTAACAGAGCTGCCAACAAAAATCATGGAGATCTACAAAGGTTATCATAGACTGTACAAGTGAAGTTCACCTCCAAAATGAGTTTTAAGAGCCAAACAATTGGTAATGATAATGCTTATTATGGGGCAGTGAGATAAGGGGAGGATGGAGCCGGCTGTGAACTTCCTGTCAGAATGTTTTGGAAATGCCTCTCTATCTCTTGCAGCTTTTCTTTGTTTATTGGGTTCAGGCCAATTTGTTGTAAACAAGAAATACACCCTCCCCTTGGGCTTTCTGGCTTCACTTTTTTCAAAGCAGTTTGGTAGTCACAAAAAGACACAACGAAAGAATCAATGGGTCAAAGATTGGGGTGGTGGTGGTGCAGAGGTAAGGGTTTTGTTTTCCATTTTTATCAATTTAATGGAATTTTATGCTGATACATTATTAAAGATATAAAGGGATAATTGATTTACAATCAGCTCAGCCAAGATGTACAGTTGACGTCAGAATTATTAGCCCCCCTGAGTTATTAGCCCCTCTGTTTCTTTTTCCCCCAATTTCTGTTTAATGGTGAGAAGATTTTTTTCAACACATTTCTAAACGTTATAGTTGAGAACTGACTCATTTCTAATAACTGATTTATTTTATCTTTGCCATGATGACATTAAATAATATTTCACTAGATATTTTTTCAAGACACTTCTTTACAGCTTAAAGTGATATTTAAAGGCCTAACTTAGATTAGGGTAATTAAGCAAGTCAGCAAGTCATTGTATAATGATGGTTTGTTCTGTAGACTATCGAAAAAAATAGCTTAAAGGTGATAAAATTTTTGACCTTGAAATGTTTTTTAAAAATTAAAAACTGCTTTTATTCTAGCTAAAATAAACCAAATAATACTTTTCTAGAAGAAAAAACATTTTCAGACATACTGTGAAAATTTTCTTGCTCTGTTAAACATAATTTGGGAAATATTTAAAAAAAGAAAATAAAAGTCAAAGGGGGCTTCTTTGACTTCAACTGTAGGTTATTATTAAGAAGAATATTTTAGCCAAAACTGTGCTTCTCGGTGATACAGGAAATTCATGTCAACAACAACCTGTACCTTGAAAAAAACTAAACCAATAATAGCTTCTGACAAAACAGTGTGGTCTTATGATTTGAGCTTATGATGCAAGAAACTGAAACTAATCTACAGCATCGGCAAACAGTCCTGAGCACGCTCTTAATAGTCAAAAGAGAACTGACAGCTCTTTAGGAGTCTTTTTCAGTTTAAAAGGACAGTACAACCATAACTTAAAACATTTAAAATCTGAGAAATATGTCTCTATAAGAAAAAGAGTGCTTGAGGAACAATTACTCTGAATTAAGTCAATCGATTTCCGTATAATGAATCAAAAAAGGTTTCCAAAATTCTCAGAATCAAACCGGCCTTCAAAATCAAAAAGAACCTAACCGTACCATGGCTCCAAAACCATGATCCAATCCAAAACATAGCATTTATGTATCGTTACACGTCTGGATCTTTACAAAAGTTAGGATTATGTTTGCATGTGTGATCTCAATTGGCAAGACTGATTTTTCAGATTCCCAAAGTATAATATACACTGGCTGACAAAATTTATGTCATCGATCCCAGTTGTAAGAGCAACAAATAATAACTTGACTTCTAGTTGATCAGTTGGAAAAGCAGCAGAAGGTAGATTTTTCAGATGGATCATCAGTTGAACTGCATCCCAGTCATGACAAATACTGCAGAAAACCTATTGGGACCAGTGCGAGAGATCTGCAGTGTGAATGGCAATATCAACAACCTGAGGTATCAAGGCATCTGTGCTGCCCATTGCATTACAAAACTACAGGAGAGGGCTTATTCTTCAAAAGGATAGCGTTTCTCCTCATACTTCAGCCTTCACATCAAAGTTCCTGAAAGCAAAGAAGGTGAAGGTGCTCCAAGACTGGCCAGCCCAGTCACCAGACATGAACATTATTGAGCTTGTCTGGTGTAAGAAGAAAGAGGAAGCATTGAATATGAATTCAAAGAATCTTGATTAACTCTGGGAGTCCTGCAAGAATGCTTTCTTTGGCAGTCCAGATAACTTTATTATTATTAGGTTATTTGAGTCATTCCAGAGATGTATGAATGCAGTCCTCCAAGCTCATGGGGGTCATACGCAATATTTTTTTTTTCCACTGCACCATGACTTTATATTCTATACCTTGCATTATTTCTGTTAAGTGACAAAACTTTTGTCTAAGCAAAGTCAGATCTCAATTAAATAATTAAAAATCAAGACATGATCATATTTTATTCTGATAAAATAAGCTTAATCTAGAGGCCTTTGCCTTTCATACAAGCCACTTCTGATACCAAATGGTCAACTAGAAATCAAGTTATTATTTGTTTTTCCTAAAACAAAGACAAGACTTTTGACAGGAAGTCTACAACATATATACAACAGGATGCTTCTGTGTTCTGCAGAATTTCCTATAGCTGTGGATTAAATGTAACCATGTTTTAAATCATGTTCAGTTTCTTGCACAAACGGATCATTTAACTTCATAAGTCTTGAATTTATTGTTAGAGGACATGCAAATAAATTTAGTTTTGTCTGTATTTTGACTCTCAAAGTGCCGTTAGCTTTTGACATTCTATTTATAAATCACAAAGGGTCACAGTTTCAGCTAAAACTATTCTTTAATGTTCTTTTGAAGCGAAAAGTTGCAGTTTTTGAAATTGATTTCACCAATTTTGTCATTATTTACATCAAGTTATTCCAAACCTGTATTATTTTCATTTTTCTAAGGAACATAAACACGTTTTCTTGTGTGTCCATATGACATTAGACCCCATTGACTTCCTCTTTCATGTTCCTGAGAAACTGAGAAAAAAAAGTGATAAACGTTTCGAACAACGTGATGACAGAATAATAATTTTTGTGTGAACTACCCTATTAAACTGACAGGCTTAACTGTCACACTTTAAAAGATGTTTATGTACATAGTCACACACACACACACACACACACACACACACACACACACACACACACACACACACACACACACACACACACACACACACACACACACACACACACACACACACACACACTCACTCACTCACACAGACTAGCGATACATGGTGTTCAAGATGGAATCTGAGGAATTTTCAGACCATCAAAGAGACTTTCCCAGTGTTGGTGTTAGCAGAGTACACAAAGCAAGCCAGTATGTACATTGTGAGTGGAGCAGACGTTGGGAAGGCTGTGGGAGAAAGCGGCTCCCTGTGTAGCTCATGAACCCACCTCCAGTGTACGGCTTCCAGTTGTAGTACTTCCCACGGAAAGGCAGGCTGTCAAAATCGGCACACTGCTTCTCCCTAAAGTCACGTGATCCTTCTGGACAAGCCTGCAATCATACAACAAATCAAATCAAATTGAGGCCTTGCTGAAGCATAAGAAATCAACAGTATTGCAGATTCACAACAATCACTTCTGATAAAAAAAGTTTGACATTTTTATGAACTACTTTGAACAAATTATAAACTACCAGCAAATTATGGTTCACTGTTTTGAGGTGGTCAGCAAGTGAACATTGTAGTCAAATGAATTATACTGAGTTTAAACCAAACCAACTCTGCTACTCACTCCTTTTTACTCACAGGATGTTTTTTTTTTTTTTGGAAAACGGCACAATGACTGCACCATACCTTCGCCTCCGATGAGAGGATAGCCAGGCATAGCGTGAGCGCACCTGCATCATAGAGAGGCGTGGTCTTCCAACATGATCCCTAGTCCTTACTTTTCCAACTTCAAAAAAGATTTACAGATTTAGATATATTTTTTCGGGAGCCGCAAGTGCTTAGATAATTTTTAGGAATTTAAATACGACAGTACGTTGGAAAAGCATGCAGTCCCGAAGGGGAGGACGCTGCGGAGGCCACCTGCTACCCAAATGGGGAGCTATGATGGCAGAATATACGGACTAGCCCTGAGAAGGGGGAGTACGCATATAAGATGGTTAGCGGAGAGGAAAAACACGGGTCTGCCTGTGAGGGGGGATTGCACCATGGCTGAATAAGCATATGGGATTGCCTAGTGGGGATCACGCATAGCGGGCATCTATACCCAAACGCGGGCTGACCAGAGGGCAGACCTACAACGTAATGGGCCGGCGAGTGACTCCTCCGCTAAGTCAGAGCTGGGGACCTCCGGCTCCACTCGCAGATTGTAAAAACTTGCAAATGTATTAAGTGTCGCCCAGCCCGCAGCTCTACAGATGTCTGTTAGAGAGGCGCCACATGCACGCGCCCAAAAGGATGCGATGCTCTGAGTGGAGTGCGCACGTACTCCTGGGGGACACGGCTCATCCTGGCTCTGGTAAGCGAGGGAGACCCAGGAGCCTCTGAAAAAATTTCAGTGGGACCACTATTTTGCTGTCGAACTCTCTCAGACAGTTCAGCATTAGCAGAGTGCGCTCTCCGGAGAGGGGCGCTGTCATGGTGACCAAGTCCAGCTCCAGCGCAAAAAAAGAGATCCTCTGCACAGAGGCAAGTTTGCGCTTTTCTCGGTTGACCTGAAGCCCCAACAGGCCAGAGCACCTTGTCTCTGTGCATAATCAATTGCTCCCGAGAATGGGCTAAAATCAGTTTGTCATCGAGATAATTGAGTATGTGGATGCCAGCGAGCCGAAGGGGTGCTAAGGCACCCTCCACGAGCTTGGTGAAGACCCGCGGAGACAGAAAGACCCTGAAGGGGAGAACTTTGTATTGACAAGCTCGACTTTCGAATGCAAACTGCAGAAACTGACGGTGGCATGGAAGAATGGAGACATGGAAGTACGCCACCTTCATGGGCACAGTGAAGTAAAGGGTGTAAAACCCGCTCTCCAACTCGACTGGAGGGACAGCAATCTCCTCTCGCAAGACAGGGGCGAACAGGGGGCTGACCCTGGTGTAATACACACTCATGAAACTTGGGGGGCTGTAATGCAAATTGAATCGAGTAGCCGAGTCTGATTGTGCGTATGAGCCACCACAAAGGCCTGGCCCACGCTAACCAGGCAGTCAGAGCTCTCGCTAATGGACTCATAGCTACAATCGCTGACGTACCAGCAGTGGGGCAGCACGGAGTGGGTGTGCTGATCCGGGAAGTGCGATGGTCCTGCGGAAGGGCTGGAGGCAGGAGATTCACTCTCACCTTACATCCAGCTCTGGAGGGGGGGCTCAAGGAGTGGGAGAAAGGAGACCGTCCTCCCAGCGTCCTCCCAGGTTTAGCCAGAGCAGGTGCTTCTGGACCACTAATGTAGACATCGTCCTCCCCAATGCACATATAGCGGACTTAGTCTGAAGAGCATATTCGGTTACAGTGCAGAGCTTGCGAAGCAAGCTTGGGTCGGACCCACCCTCGTGCAACTGGGCCAGCGCCTGCGCTTGGTAGCGCTGGTAGGTGGCATAGCGTGCAAGGCAGAAGCAGCCTGGCCCACAGCCTTGTAAGCTCTGGCTCTGAGGGTTTTGCACGAGGCGGGACGGGAGACGAGGCGGACCCTGCCAAGAAGAGGCGCCACGTGGACAAATATTGAAAGCAATGGCGCGCTCGACCTGAGGAATCGCCTCATACCCTCTGGCTTCTCCACCTTCAAGAGTGGTGAGGGTGGAGGGACACGGGCAGAAAAAGGTGCCCTCCAAGACTGCGCAAGCCTACTGTGCACCTCCTTGAGGGAGGGGACGAGAGGCTTCGAGGCTTGGCCAACTTGTCCTCTATGTAGCACCCATCTAGTCGGTCCGGCCGCAGAGCTGGGGGATAAACCATCTCCAACCCCACGGTGGAAGCAGCCCAGGAAAGCACGGCTAACATTTCCGTTTCAGGATTTGTTTTGACATCGCTCACCTGCCCGGAGGGGGCGAGCAGGTCTGGATATTTGTCGGACAATGAAAGCCCACCCTCTGATGCAGCAGTGGACGTCTGGTCCCCGGTCTCATCGTACGTACGGACATCTGGTTAGACGGATCGCTTTCCTCCGCACGAAGCTTGGATGGATCGCTTGGAGGAGCGGGAGGTCTGCGGGTCCGGAGGTGAGGGATAATCTCCTACTGGAACCTTTAGACTTGCCTGAGTGCCTGCTGCAGTGCAGGGGACAGCTGGGGTGGTTCGCCCTTTTGCAAGGGCTAGCTGCAATCTTAACTGCGCAACAGACATGGCATCGCAATAACGCCATAAACTGCCCGCGAGCACCGCATTAACATGCTGGACCCCCAGACATGCAACGCAGTGCTCGTGCCCATCATCCGGGGACAGGAATCCACTGCATCTAGAAACGCACGGTTGGAGCACCATCCTGAAAAGAACATGCTGGACGACTGTGTTGCTCTTTTAGTGAAATTTGCAACTTTATAAACACCGTTCAGGAGAACCGGACCCAAAGAACACCAGACAAGAGAGAACCCCAGCTCGACCGTCTGCCACCGCTTGTACACACTCTGGACCAGGAGACCGCTCTCGTTGGCTCGAAAACGCTGGATATCAGCAGGAGGGACCCTCATCAACTCTCTCAGAAGGCTGTACAAGTCTCTGAATCAAAAAGGATGCATCTTCTTGCTTTTGCTGTGCTTTTATGCTAAATTGATTGCAACAAGCCTCAGGTGAGCAAGCTGACGTTGCCAATTTATTTGGCATTCATTGGCCCATTTACATACTCTTTCAGATGATTGGCTTTCTGTACGAAATCCTCATACATGGATTAAGTTATAGCATTTCCGTTCCCCATCCGAAGGGGAACTGTTGAATGAAGTTGCTATTTTTGTTTTATGTGCGCACAAAAGTATTGAACTTCCAACGAGTCAGGAACCTTGCTGTAAATGGAAGATCAGAGAGCTCTTAGATTTCATCTAAAATATCTTAGCTTGTATTTTGATGAAGTAAAAATATATGTTCTGCATACATTTAAAATGTCTATCATTTCATATTTTTAATGTTTATGCTGGAATCACACTGAACTGAGCTAAACTGAACTGAACTGAACTTAAACACTAAAACCTGAACCACACTGTTCCAGTTACTGAACCACACTGTTCCAGTTACTATGACCATTTATGTGAAGCTGCTTTGACACAATCTACATTGTAAAAGCGCTATACAAATAAAGCTGAATTGAATTGAATTGGAACTGTAATGAGTAGTTTTTGAGAAGTGTTTTATGTTTTATTCACATGTATTTTATATTTCTACAAATGTAATAAAAACATTTGCTATTTGCCCACACATGAGCGAGTACATTTCTGAGACAATACTCTTTAAAATGTAAAACATAAATAGTCATGTGGTCAATATGTATAAATAATTAATTGATTAAATGTACAGAATTGGTACTATGTCATGTTAGAAAAATCTCATATCACGATATAAGTCATCTCATATAATGATATAGATTATCATGATATAAGATGACTTGTCATAACGCTCAGCCCTATTCTGAAAATGAATTAAAATGTCTGGGGTATGGAACGACATAAGAGGGAGTAATTAATATCTGAATTTTCATTACTGAGTGAACTAACCCTTTAAATAAATAGCTCTGGTCTTTTTTATTACATGATCAGAATTTTTTTAAAACATGAGTCTTAAATAGGCACTGCAACTTTACTTCATTCTCAACTACTTCTTCAACTCCTTCACAAGTCTCATTCATTTGATTTTTTTATGAACAATATTTGCAATCTTTGTCCATAGGTTTGAAGCTTTCATTGTACTGAGCCTGAGTATTGTTCGAACTGTGAGTAAATGGGGTAATATGGGGTAATATGCATTACATTTTGTTTATTTTTTTATATTATAATTATAATAACACCTATTATTGTTATTAATCAATTGATAATTGGTTAATGATAATTATCAATTACTATCAGCGAGAGCATTTTTTGCATAGAATATAAAAGTTCCCACATTTTCAGACATTCAGATATTTTTTTGACAACACAACTCAAATGGTTTATCTTCAGAAGGGTTAAGAAATCAGTAACTGATGGAATTCAGTAAAAACAAATAAAAACTATTAGGGCCCTATTATACACCGGCACAATGTGGCGCAAGCCATGACGCAATTGTTATTTGCTAGTTTCAGCTTGGTGCAAGAGTCATTTTGATGCTATCTGCGCCCATAGGCATTCTGATCTAAAAAAAAGACGTGTTGAGGTACATTGCTGGCGCGTTTTGAGAAACTATAATAGATTTTTCAATAGCGCGTTAGTTGTGTGCCTCTCTAACACATTGCTTAATACACACAAGATGTAGAGCAATACGTAAACATCTTTACATATGAAAAAGAATTTAAATATTCAAGATATATTGGATATAATAAGGATATATAGGACATAAATATAAAGGATTAAAATATTACAAAACATTTTATTTTCTAGCCTACATGAATATAAAAACCATACTTTCATGGCTTCTTCATTCCAGAGGCATTTTCAGTTTATCTGTGACAATTTGCTTTTGTATAATGTTATTATTATTAGCAGTATTATTTATTATATGCATATTTATATTTGTTTCATTAAAACAAGCTTAGATTTGTGCATCTGTCAGGTTTTAGACCATATGGGGCATAGCTTGTGTATTTGGATATAACTCAGTTTATCACATTTCATTATTATTGTTCATTTATTCCTTTGCTGGAAATTAGAACTGAATTTAGAAATAGTTTTGAAAAAATCTTAACAAACGATATTAATTATTTATAGGCTAATTGATGTCTGTGCGTACAAGGTTTCCGTATCCACGAGAGCGAAAGTAAAGGTAGATAATGATGAGGCCTTATCTCTCATTCTCGCACTGCAGATGCTCTGTTTAACTATTTCCTTGCTAGAGAAATGCTCAGTTTTTCCGCTTACAAAGCCCGTTATGTAAATACAAATGCGCTATGGCGTGACTCAACTGACTCTTAAAGGGAACATGAGATGAAACATTTATTGGTTTGTTGCCAAAACACACCTATAACTCATTAGAAGAATAAGCTCAACCCTATTAAACCATGCACCAAGGTGCAAGAGAATTGTTCCGTCCTTATATTAGCAAAATGGATTCTGACAAGCCTTTAATGCGTTTGGGCTCTGCCCTTTGCACTTCGCGCATGGATCGTCAAAATAAAACCCTTAATCTACACAGCTTTAACTTGAAAAGAAAATACCCTAAATGACTATATTTTCATTTATAATTTAAATGAAACTTTTATAGAATAAAATATTACATTATACTAAAATTTATAACTAATAAATCCAATAAATCCCAGCCGATTTGAATGTTATCACTCGACTGAATGGGCGTTATCAGTGGTTATTAGCTGATAGATACAGTAGGGGCCTTCTGCGATAGGCTCAGAAGGCTGTTATTATCCACCCACATAGTTAATTAGCTATAAAGATTAACTATGTAGATCACAAACAACTGTGGCCGAAAGTTCACGTGAATTATTTATATTCATTCATTCATTCATTCATTCATTCATTCATTCATTTTCTTTTCAGCTTAGTCCATTTATTAATCTGGGGTTGCCACAGCGGAATAAACCGCCAACTTATCTAGCATATGCTTTACGCAACCTATCACAGGGAATTCCAGCCCCAACCTATCACTGGGAAAATAATTATTTATATTATTTATTTAATTTCCCATCTATTGTATTTTATTAATGTCTACCCCTAACCCAACCCTAAACTCAACCGTCACAGTAATGTAAAAAACAGATCCGGAGTCTTCTCTATTAGTATAGCTGATTAACCATGTGGATGGATGATAACAGCCTTCCGAGCCTTACTTTATCTTATGATCATCATCAAGGCTAATGTGACAGTAATAGAAAGTTACATATTGAATTTATCTCATATATGGGTACAGAAAAGTTACTTTACAAATGGGCAATTTGTCTCTTTGCACAACAAATCCCTTTTTAAAAAATGACAAAAAATGATTCGTATTGTGTAATGAACTCATGTTATTTAAACATTATTGCTTTAAATCCAATTAAACTTTAATATGCGGCTGGACTTGGCCTCTTTCCACCATGGCATTGTTATTAACCCGAGTCACCATGTAAACTGGCGGATCACAGAGTCAGCAGTGAGCGAGGGGCTGCGTATTAGCTCATTGTTTTGAGAAGGCGAACAAATGATAGCAGACCTTTGCTTGGTACTGAACAATGGCCGTGGCTTGAAGCAGAGCTGCAGGGGGGCCGTATCCTCAATGACTTAATAATTTCAAAGCCACAGCCATAATAAATCCAGACGCTGGAATGCCCCACATAAACACACCAGAGAGTGGTCTTCAACCCCTTCAAAAGCTTCGTTTGGATTTCACCAGGTCAAAGAATTAATTACATTAAATCTATGATTGGGCCATTGTTTTATACGAGCTAAATCCTTGCCGGGCTGCTGTCAAAAGTGGTTAGAATTTAATCGTATGTCACCAACAGTCTCCTTCCACAACACATTTTCATTTTCAATGCATGGGGGTGCTGCTTGACTTCCAAAGTACACACTGATTATTTGTGCTTAGCTGTTATTTCCAGAGGTTTGTGCTTGAAAGGCTGACTAACAAGCTCTATTTCCATATTAAAGATCCTATAAATTCATGTGGTGATGATGGATTTCTTTTAGGATGCTTCAGGTTTTTTTCAGTTGATATGAATACTGATACCATGATCCTAATCAATCAAGTTGTATTACTATGTAAACTTTCTGTTACCTATTACATTAGCCTTTCTTTCGATGAAGTAATGACACATGTTGCTGTTTATGTTATTCACTGTAATTTTGTAGATTGTTGTTTGTATCTAAGAATCAAATAAATAGGAACAGATTTTCATTTTGCAATAAACTAGACATTGCATAAACTAGACAAACTGAAAATACTGTCATAATTTTTCACCCTTCACTTGTTCTAAACTGTTTGAATTTCTTTTCACTACTGTTATATTTTGATAAGTCGTGTAAACTGGTAACCATAGTCCTCCATAGTATTTATTTTTTTCTACTATGAAATTCAATAGTTACCAGTATCTTACTTTCTTTAAAATGTCTTCTTTTGTGTTCGCTAGAAAAATGAAATTCATTAAAAGTTACTGTAAACTGTGAGTACATTTTCATTTTTAGGTTAACTATCACTTTAACAATTGCCTTTAAATAAGTGTTTACACTCCCAAAACTACAATACTTTGCTTGTTTAAGAGAGATTCATATTTCAAATGGTTCTTTTTGAAAACACACAGCAAATGTGTGTTTCATTAATGAATTAATTACTGAACCATTGCCTTACCTACTGTAAATTCTTTCAAAAAAATCATTCATGTGGTAAACTGCTCAGAGATTAACATCATAACCCTTCTGCTGTGAGCTTGTTAGCTTGTTGAAAATTAACAAATACAGACAAATCTAACATGTTATTTGCCTGTTACAGAAACCTGTGTTTTGCAGATTTATTAATTCATTTTCCTTATGCTTAGTCTATTATTTATCAGGTTATTATCCATTATCCATATTTAGAGGTCACCAAAGTGAATAATCCGCCAACTATTCTTGTTATATGTTTTATGCAGTGGATGTCCTGCCAGCCACAACCTATTACTGGTAAACATATTTTGCAGAAGTGAAGCCGTTTAGTTAAAAAAGTCCATCTTTATTATATATAATGATTTATGGGAGTGTAACTGAATTGGGTATCATTATGGAATCAGCACCCATTCAGCCATTTGTCAACATCTGCATGTGATATGATGTTCAAATTCTTAAAGGGATCATTCACCCAAAAGTAAAACTGAACTAGTTTTTACTCACCCTCAAATGATCATAAGTTTAATTTTTCTGCTGAACCTAAAAGAAGATAAAAGAAAGCTGGAAACCCGTAACGATTGATTCCATAGTAGAAAAAATATACTTTGAAAGTCAATGGTTGCAGGTTTTAGGTAACAAAAGAAAGATATTTAAACAAGTTTGTAACAAATTAAAGGTGAATAAATGATTTCTGGGTGAACTGTACCTTAGTACCTAAATGCTGAATCAAACCATGTTCAGACCATGTTCAGACGGCAGCACTCACACTTATTCAACTGAACCACTAACATGCCAAATGCACCAGAATTTGTTTAAACTGAACTAAACTGCCAAGAGTGAACACACCCTGACTGCCCCCTCAAAAAGTTCCTGAGCATAAAATGATTCAGACAACAGACAATGCAAAAACTCACATCTGTGTTGCACGATCTGTAGCGCTTCCTCTCTCCGAGACAGTACTTCCCTCCGCCTGACGGCCTGAAAGAGTTAAGAGTAAAAAAGACTTATGAGGTACCATCATAACAGACAAGAAACCTGTTTAAAATGCATTCACAGACTGTTTAAATCAACATGGGACAGCATATGTACTGCATTTGCTTTAGCAGAGGAGGGCAAATAATCCAATAACCTCAATCTCAACATGTCCTTCACTCGCATGCAAACACACACTTGTACAGCTGTCTTAATGAGGACCTCCCATTAATAAAATTAATTGATGGAGCAATTTACTCCACTTGCACAACCATTGACATGAGTCTGGGATGTCTGTATACGAGCTGCTTAGCTAGACATGAGTTTATTTAAAAATCTGTTAAAGAAAAACTGTGTCTGTAGTAGTTTTTACTGAGAAACTCAATCTCAGGGTCACCTGTCAAGAAAAGTCCCAACCTGAAAAGACTTGGCAAACAGAAATCTATCAGGATGTGCTTTCACCTAACTTAAGACATGTTACATTTGTTTAAAAAACACAAACAAGTATTTGATTACAGTTGATCAAATGACAGTTTTTACAATACCAAACTGTTAATTCAGATTTTAACATCATTTATTTTATTAGGATTTTAATGTGAACTGTATTTAGCAATTTATGTACAGCATACAGCAGCTAGTGAGTCTCTGACACAGGGAGAAGGACAATGTCACACTTATGACTTAAATGTGCAAATTAAAAAATGTGCAGAGTAAAAATACAGTCAACTACAGGTTTTGTATGCATGCAAGAAAACATCTAAAAGTACATTTCTGCTTGTTTGTTTACATACAAATGGGAGAATGTTCAATTTTAATAATTTCAATATAAATAACTATAACAAAATAAGAGGGACTACAAAAAGTGAGTTTTTTTTTTCTAAATTAGCTGTTTTTTTTAGAATTTAGAAAACAAACATGTTACATTTCCAAGAAATTTGCTGTGAATCATTTATGGATTAAATAATTACCTAAAATAATTTTCTGACGCGTTTGCCAGTCATGTTGACAGAAGACAGAAGAGAAAATACTCCCTGTTGGTATTACTAATTTTACAAAATACATATTGTTTTATTGTAATTATGAATACAAATAAAAGTAGACCCTTTACAGTTTTTAAAACTGTTTGTCTTAATACAGTAAAAAAATGACAGAGTACTTTATGGAGTAATGTCGACTTGGATAATCTGTTGACCCCAGGTGCTTAAATGTAAAATTATTTGTATATGAGCAAATGCATTGTGGCATGACTTATAATTACTACCTGACCTGACCTGTATATTGTGCTTTAACAAAGGTCCGATTTACCAGTATATTCATGTATTATTTCAGTATATATAGTTTCTGTGTGCAATGCATTATGGCCTCTAGAAGTACCAGTTTTTTTTACAAATAAATATATAGTATATTTGAAGAATGTTCATGTGAATTTTACACACTTTTACATTTGTGCCATGTAAATGCGACATGTAATGTAATTGATCACCCTTTTAAAAAATATTACTTTACTGAATTGGCAAAAAATTACTGTCTGAATTAGATCGGATTGTTTTTTTTACATTTGGTCATGGTGGCTTATCAAATTAATGTGGCAATTGGGGTAATAGCCATAGCGCCACCTGGAGTCAGAAGAAGATATAACATTCAAAACAAACTTTAAAGTAGTTTTGTTTATTCATTCATTCATTTTTTTGGCTTAGTCCCTTCCAGCTGCAACCCATCACTGGGAAACACCCATACCCACTCATTTACACTCATACACTATGGCCAATTTAGCTTATTCAGTTTACCTATAGTGCATGTATTTGGACTGTGGGGGAAAACCCACGCGAACATGGGAAGAGCATGCAAACTGCACACAGAAATGCCAATTGACCCAGCCGGGGCTCGAACCAGCGATGTTCTTGCTGTGAGGCAATTGTGCTAACCACTGCGCCTCCGCATTGCCTATTCTTTTTCAGTTTATTTATTTAAAAGATTACTTCACCCAAAAATAAAATTTATGTTATTAACCACTCATCTTTATGTTTTTTTAATGCCTGGAACCTTCATTTATCTTCAGAACACAATTGAATATATTTTAGATCAATATATAGTAAACAGTGAGGGTAAGTAATTATTGACAGAATTTTATCTCCAATTTTATACCTAAATCTATGGATCATACATGTCACAATCCAGAATCAAAACAATTCAGCCAAAATCCCCAATACATCAGACTAAAACAAATGTGGAATTTATTTCAGCCCTAAATGGAGTTCCATTGTTCGAGAGCACGATGCCCCCAGGCCGGTGATTTCCAATTCTATAAACAATATTCCCCATAATTAATAACCGGGCCCCTTAATAAGCCCCTCGAGGATCCACGTGTTCTATCAAGGTTGACTTCAGTTCCATAAATGGACATTTAGAAAACTCCTCAACCCACAAGCAAATATTAAAAAAGCACTTTCCATTTGTGTTTGTTTGACAGAGAGCTCAAGACATTTGCACTATCTCCATTGTTCAGGTTGTTATGACCAAGCAGGGAAGTATGTACTTTTTCTCTTCGCCTTATTAACGCTTTGACGTATGCATTCAGGTCTCTCTCTGTGAACTGCTAAGCTGTTTGTCCATTTCTCCACAGGTTATTTCGACCCAGGAGGGCAGCTAAAACGAGGTTTGCCAAGACTTAGGTGATTCTGGCTGTCTTCCTCTGCCGTTTGGCCCATAGATTGGCTGGTTGTGCTGTTTTCTCAGGGCTCGCTCTTAATGAATGCTTTCCAGGGCAGCTTGGCTTGAAGTGCTTGGGTTTCCTTTCTCTTGGGTAGCCAGGTTTTAAGGGCCGATCATCTTACACAGGTGTTACATATTACACCGGCCACAATCCACTGTCTGCAGCGAGGGTGCGAGGGTAGATGTTTCCGCAGCCGCCGGGATTGAAACCCAAACTCTGACTACATCCAAACCTATTTTGAGCTTCTGTGGCTACCTATGAAAAGTGCGGAGAAACTGGCTAGAGCAGGAAATCAATTGGCAAAAGCTGAAAGTAAGAAATTATTTTTGGAACTGAAAATATAAAATTTTTAAATATGTATGTACCTTCCTAGAACTTAATATGGCTGATTACATACTTTAATCTAGACAGTTACATTATGTGTATTATTGTGTTTTATTACATAGCGAAGAAATATTCTAAATAGTTTTTTTTGACATTTTATAATAATATTAGATGTGTTAGAGTGAAGCACAGAGCCTTTGTTTTGGAAAAAATAATGCTTCAGGTTGAATAATGTTTTTTAACTAAAATCACATATTTTTAAGCTGACTTATATAACTATTTAAACTACTTAAATGCTTTTAACCCTTGCATTTGTTCCAAAATTTGTTATTGAGTAACAAGAATTAATGTGATATTCCTCTAAATAAGAAACTAAAACTGCCAGTAGGTGGCAGTAAATGCCGAATATGTCAGCCACTAAGGGCGCGCTCCTACTATAAACAGTTGCCTTGAACCAGGCCGAAGCATGCTTGTCCCCCCTCCGTCTCTCACGACGGCCCGGACTCTCATTTCATTGATGATGCGCTGTTCAGTAGAGAAGCACTCTCGCTCAGCACAGTGGAGATTTCTTTAGTTATATTGTTTTAGCCTTTTGGGATGTAGTGACACACCGTCAAATATTTTAGGCATGGTTCAGATAGCATAGTGTGACTACGCCCAAAGTCTTCACTCATTCATTCATTTGATTTGTTTAAGTGACTGTATGCAGTCTTGATGATGCAAGCCGAGATCAGTGATGCAATGTCAGACACAATGCACTCAATGGAGCTAGTGATGTCACTGTGAGGGTTAGGGGCGGTGTTAGGCGAGCGCATCAAAAAGCATTTTATGTAGCTCTGATTAAGCTGCACCAGGGAGCTGTTTCATAAAAGTGGTTTAGAAAAGCAAGGATTAAAGTCAAAAACCTGACTTCAATGACCCGAACTAAATGTCCACGCTTAAATTGGTTCCATAACAGCAAGTTGAAGATCATTTGATCTATCTCATCAGAGTTTAGTTTAAATAATCTAGATAACTGCTCATGCACATTACTGTCATGATACCCTGAAGGTCGAGCATAGATGCATCGATTATGTTGTGTGCCATCAGGGCAACTGAGAGAACTGAAAGAGCTCTGAAATGACACAGCTGTGTTCACAGCGAGTGGAATAATTAGGAGGTGTGTAAAAATATCTTATATTAAAGTAAGGCTACTACTCAGCCCGGATCACCTCCTAATTATTCCACTCAGGGTTCATATATATATATATGATGATTATTATATCAGTCGACACCGACTTTCGGCTACTTTATGGATCATGATTTGCCACGCTTTCTGACACCCTCTTCTTCTTGATCCACTGACTGCACCAAGCATTAAAGCTGTTTCCATGGAGTTGGCTCGCATGATATGACCAAAGAACGAGAGCCGTTGCTTGGTGATTTTGCCCTCTAGCGATACATTTTGTTTGACACGCTGCAGGATTGTTTTGTTTGTGATCCTCGCCGTCCATGGTATGCGCATCATTCACCTCCAGCACCACAATTCGAAAGCATCGATCTTCCTTCTGTCTTTCTTCTTGAGTGTCCAGCTCTCACATGAATACATAAAGATTGGGAAAACAATGGCATTGATTATTCTGATCTTTGTTACAATGCTGATGTCCTTGCTTTTCCATACCTTCTCCATTCCTTGCATTGCACTGCGGCCAAGTGCGATTCTTCATCTGATCTCCAACCCTGACTCGCCATTGTGGTTGATCTTGGATCCATGGAAGATGAAGTCTTGGACTGATTTGATTTCCTCATTGTCAATTGTTATGTGGACTGTACCATTGCATGCTGTTGTCATTACCTTCGTTTTCTTGATGTTGAGGTATAGTCCCATGTGTTCACTTTCTTCTTTTACTCTTCGGACCAGATATTCGAGGTCCTTTTCACTTTCTGCAATCAGGGTCGTATCATCGGCGTAACAAAGGTTGTTAATGTTTCTCCCGCCGATCTTCACTCCGATTGGTGACTCGTCCAGATTGCATAGCCTCATGACCACTTCAGCATACAGATTGAACAGTGTAGGCGATAAAATGCATCCTTGTCGAACACCTTTCTCAATCCCAAACCAGTCAGTGTTGCCAAATGCTGTATATATATTAGGGATGCACGATATATCGGCGACCATATTGTTATCGGCCAATAAATGCTATTTTTAGAATATCGTTATCGATCTGATGTCTTAATTAGGCCGATATATTTAAGCCGATAAATTACGTAATTTTAAAGACCTGCCACGCTCGCGTGGTCGGAACATGTTCAGACTTGCCCAGTGCACTCCAATGGAGCTCTCCTCACACTGTTTATTCCTTCAAAGTTCATCCTTTCTTCACATGGCACTGCTGTGTGTTAATAACTCAGTAAGTAACCATGTTCTTCATCATTGTAGATATGTTTGATTGAGTGTCATTGTGTATTTTGCTTTAAATCGCCTCAGGAAAAATAATACATGTGTAAACCTTTCCTTTCCTGCTCTGTCTTTGTTGTGTTAGATATAGCAGGGAGATTTACTTATTAATCCAGGGCCGAATAATATTACTTTCGGGGTGAACTCTTTTAGTTGCAGCTGGTGAATAAAAGAGGACACATGTAATTTGGTCCAAAATATTTATTACTTTCCGTGTGGTACAACAAATAAGTCACCAAATAGGGAACATCACAGAAAATGGTCTCATTGCGAAAAAACGCTCCTCTTTTCTCTCTCCCTCTGCTTCACACACCCCAAACTGAAGCCCAGTCCCTTAAAGGATCCGCACATTTTACAACACTTGTAAACATAACGGTTGTTTGTAATATGATTATTTGTTATTATTAACATATTGCTGGTCATGTGTGTTGATGTAAGATGTATTCAGTTTGATCGGAATACATTCATTCATTTTCTTGTCAGCTTAGTCCCTTTATTAATCTGGGGTCGCCACAGCGGTATGAACCGCCAACTTATCCAGCAAGTTTTTACGCAGCGGATGCCCTTCCAGCCGCAACCCATCTCTGGGAAACATCCACACATACACACAGCCTACCCAATTCACCTGTACCACATGTCTTTGGACTGTGGGGGAAACCGGAGTACACGGAGGAAACCCACGCGAACGCAGGGAGAACATGCAAACTCCACACAGAAACGCCAACTGAGCCGAGGATCGAACCAGCGACCCAGCAACCTTCTTGCTGTGAGGCGAACGTGCTACCCACTGCGCCACTGTGTCTGTAACCGCACACACACTCTGTAGCACGGGGGAGAGATGAAAGGTGAATCCAGTTAAAGGGGCTCTTAACTAGCCGCTCATCGATCATTTTCCCACGATTGACGGCAAGAATTGTCTGATTGACAAGCAGCACCTACATGTGACATGTCAAAACGCCAAATAGGATGAATCTGTGCCGCATTTTCTAAACGTACTAAAACATACTATCTGTATTTAGCTGTTTGCTTGTACGGTGGCTCTAAACTGTCAAAACACCTCTGAAAAAAGGCTTTTTCGGACATGACATATTTGTACATGTGTACTTCACTGTAACACGTTTTATTCATGACCATTTGAGCTGGTTTCAGTCCTTAGCTCTTTCATTTTCATCTTATTTAAAGATATTTAACTTGTTTGTTAATTAAATACCATTTTGTTATTTAAACTTTTATTTTTATGCAACAATCAACTTGCATGTTAATTTGCTATGAAGAAAAGGAAATAATTTTTTGCTTGCTGATTTATGTGAAATCGTGAATAATATAGGTCTATAATCACCTTGCAATTTTGAAGTTATAGCTTTTTTGCTTTGCGTATAGACTATTCAGTTCATAAGAGCAGTTCAGTCTTTTATGAAGTTTGCTGTATAAAAATATATCAATTTAAAATATTTAGAATTATTGGCCTTTTATAATTATCGGTTATCGGTATCGGCCAAAAAAAATCCATATCGGTGCATCCCTAACATATATATATATATATATATATATATATATATATATATATATATATATATATATATATATATATATATATATATATATAGCTAAGTACACCCTTCACAGATCTCTCTTTTAAATTAATATTTTCTACAGAATGCTTTACAATAATATCTTTGTATGTTACACACATTCAGTACCAAAGCAAAATTTGCTTTTTGTTTTAATCTAACAAAAAATAAACTAAAGATCAGTCAAAAAAATTGTCCACCCAAATTAATGTGTTAGGGGAAAATATAAAAATTTTTAAGAAACAGGAAAAACAAAATCAACAGAAACATAAAAAAATATATAAAAATCTAATTGAAATGTTGTAGTTTGTACTTGTTTTGTTTTGATTAACTTGCTCGAATTTAAATGTAGTATCATTCCATTCTTAAAGTTGTTTGGTGTATAAATATATTTACTATGAAGTGACTATAAAGTTTTAATCATTATTAAGAGGTTAAGTGAAATAAAATAGCATCAAGTTACTGCAGGTGAATTTTAACATTACTTTCATTGAGCTTGAACTTAATACTTAGCCTGAGAGTTAACCTGGCCCAGACCAGGCTAGTTTCCGAGCATAAGTTGCCAGAGTAACTTCGAACTATCGTAAATTTGATTTATGAAACCGAATCCACCATTAATACCCCTGACTTACCAATAGAACCCTGGCTTTTTCTCTATGCTTGGTTTATGAAACAGGCCCCAGGTCTGCATCCAGACCCATCTTAATTTATTCAGCAATTAACTAAACATCTTGTTTTATGAATGGATCACTGAATCATTAGTTCACATGACTTGTTCAAAATGTAGATTCATTTAGAAAGCAAACACTGCTGTGTGTTGGTTGGAATCACACATCAAATCTTCTGTGGCTTTATGGAGTGTTTTACAACACATCCACAGTCAGCCATGTTGGTGAACAAAACGTAAAAAATGCCACTGAACCGAATGAAACGTGTATTTTATTGATTATTGCTGATGAAAATAATACATTATTTTTACATCAAGGGCTGTAATAATAGGTCAGACCAGAAAAAACAAGTTAGAGTACTAAAGACTGCCAGAAATGATAACAAGTCAAGTAGAAGAGAGCCTATTAAAATAATTTGTGCTTACTAAGTCCTTCTCTATGTCATTTTTTTATGGTTTTAACACCGTAAATAAACAGTAAGCAAATGGACTTTGATTTAATGAGTAAACTCATTGCCTTATAATTAACTTAATGGGCAGCATGGTGGCTCAGTGGTTAGCATTGTTGCCTCACAGCAAGAAGGTCGCTAGTTTGCATCCCAGCTGGGCCAATTGGCATTTCTGTGTGGAGTTTGCATGTTCTCCCTTGTTTGCGTGGGTTTCCTCTGGGTGCTCCGGTTTCCCCCACAGTCCAAAGACATGCAGTGCAGGTGAATAGGATAAACTATATTGGCGGTAGTGTATTACCGTGTGAATGTGAGAGTGGGTGTTTCTCTGTACTGGGTTGCGGCTAGAAGGGCATCCGCTGTGTAAAATATATCCTGGAATAGTTGACGGTTCATTCCACTGTGACAACCCCTGTTATATAAAGGACTAAGCCGAAGAAAAATGAATGAATGAACTTGCACAGATTAATTGTCAAGCTAAAAATGTGTGCTAGCAAAATAAACAATGTAAAACAATGTAATTTTGATTTCAGTTTATTACACAATACATACAACTTTTAAGAATATCTTGAATTTACCTTAAATGAAACTGCTTTTTATAGTCTACGTCGCACAGTGAGGTTTGATTTGTGCATATCCTTTTACAAAAAGGTAAAGCAGTAGTGAGAGGAACTAAACAGGGACCCATTCAGCTTTGTTCTGGCTTACTTTGCCTACTTACGCTGGGCTGTCACAGTGTCGCATGGACGAGGAGACGCCACCGCCGCAGGTTCGACTGCACTCACCCCAGACTGTCCACGGGCCCCAGCTGCCATCCACACTCTGCGGCCATGTCCCAAACGCCACACATTCACCCTGATAACACCACTAGACACACACAGAGGGAGGAAATAGTTGCCCAAATAAATATACAGGTAAGATTATTAGCACATGATTATCAATGGCTTAATGTTTGTTTGTTTGTTTGTTTGTTTGTTTGTTTTTTTGTCCTATTCAGTACTTCAGTACCAAAAGTCAACTGGTAAGTGTACTTTGAGAGTCAAAAAACATACACAGACAAAACAAAATTAATACCTTTCGCTCCTGATAAGACACTGAAGTCTTAAAAAGTGAGATAATTTTGTCTTTGAAGAAACTTAAAGATAATATTGAAGAAACATAATTTACAACAATAATTTTGAAGGTAATAATGTAATGAATATATATATATATATATATATATATATATATATATATATATATATATATATATATAATGTCAGAAACCACTGGTATAATTTATAATTTAACTCTCAAAGTTTTAGTTTACAGGAGTTTTTTTTTATAAATCATGGTTTCAACCACATTTTGGATAGTTTGAGGTTTCAAATTAATATCAGATCTTTATCCCTTTAGGGTCCTGATTTACTAAACAGGGAAATAGACTGCAATTCTAGTAAAGAGTGAGAAAACATTTTAAAACAGAAACTTCACAAAATAAAATGCTCCAAATAAAATTATTTACTTTCATTTACATTTTTCTTGTATTTATTTTAATTAAATTTAAATAGTGTATATTATAATACTCATATTAAATGCAGAAATGAGAGGCAAGACTGTCAGATTATGATATTGTTGATTTACTGTTACTGATTAATGTACTATTATGGTTAATTTACAGAGATGTGTTTCCCAAATAACAACATAACTAGTGGCTGAACTATCATTGTATGATGCATCATTTGGGAAATTAATGATATAGTGACGAGTGAGTGACAAGAGTAAAACCGTAGATTCTCTATTGCAGATCCTTCGTTTGAACCACTTTAGTTATAACGTAAAACCCACATAATAAGACTCCAAATGGGGCAGAGTAACAACTTCTTAAGAGAATAAATACCATAATTTTCGTATAAAATTATATTATTTTATTATTATTAAGTAGGATATTGTTTATTTATGGTATATATTTATAGATTTATGTTTTATTTTTTTGAAAAGTCTACTTTTACAACTGTGACACATTCAAACCACTTCATGAATATTCTAACCACTAGGCCAAGTGATATACAATAGACTACAGACACATTTCTTAATAATAAAATAATAATAATAATAATTAATAATAAATAACTACTATAAATTAAAAGCATTAAGCTATATATTCTTGTTTTCACAAGCTTTGGAGACGTAACATAAATTCTGCTTTTAAATAAAAAGATCACCTATAGCTTTTGTCACGAGCCTGTGCTTAAAATGTCAAAAATGTTTTCAAAGCGTACTACAAAGGGAGTGCAATTGTTAATGTGCAGATCGCTAAAACTGAACTATAAAAAATACTTAGAAAGCAAAATACATCATATAAGAGAGAATACTGTTTTTTTTTTTTTTAAATCATTAGGGCATAGGGTGATAACTGGGAATAGAACACAGCCAGGAACTATGCTTCTAAGTCCAGCTCTAGAGGTGTATTACAATCGTTGTTTGTAACGATGCAACTTGCAACCTTAGTTGGCTCACGATGGTTTTCGGAAACGCACAGCTGGAATGTATATAAATTTGCACTGAATCGTTTAGCTGACGTTTTTAACCAAAGCAATCTCACAAAATTATCACAATATTTAATGTCTCTTCAAATATCTAATCAATTGACCTTTTTTTATACAACTGTAAAATAGAATACTATTATTCTTTTTTTAAATTCAAAAATGTACATTGTAAAAAGAGATTAGTTGACTTTACTTAAAAAAGAGCATAAACTCATTGCCTTATAATTATTAAGTAAACAATAAGTAAAGTAACTATAAAAGTTAAGCCACTGAATAGTAATTATTATGGCAATACCTTTTATGTATTTATTTATTTGCATTATTTTCTTTTAATTGATTTTTTATAATTTCATTATAATTTCATTATTTTTGTCATGTATTCCCTTTTCTGTAAGGGGTTAAATTGTTGGGGAAGGGGTTGTTGAACTTAAAAAAATTAAAGTTAAGCCAAAAGGTTTACTGACTTTTTTTTTTTTTTTTTTTTAAAGCAAAATCAACTTGCTGCTTTCAAGGTAACGGGTTTACTAACTCTCTTAAAGTAAAGCAACTAATTGCTCTTTACAGTGTATTAACATTTATATATTTTACATGTACATTTTATGTACTGTATAGTCAAAAGGTGCTATTTTTTTAAAATACTTTATTTATAAGGTTTTTTTATATACATTTGCACAAAACAGAAAAAGACAAACAGTCGCAAAATGTGCTATTTAATTTCACTTGATTGTTTACTTTTTAGTTTTTTTTTTATTACTTTTTTACTTTTACTTTTGTCAAAGACCAACATAAAACTTGTCACATTCATTGTAAACATACTTTGTTTGCTTGATGTGGTCACCAGTGGCATATTCAAACTAGCTTATTATGCAGTAAATATCAACATATTTGATTGACGTACCTTTAAGTAATAAATAACACATGCTTTTAGTATTAGCACCAATTCATCCCTTATTTTCACTCAGGCCAGTGCTAATTCATGACAGGACACTGAGCTGCTCATTCACCTCCTGGTAATTAACTACATCCTCCAGCTGTCACTGGAGTAAAGTTTCCTGGCTTAATCCTGTTTTGTATAAACAGTGCCTTCACCTACTGTCCCTAATCTAAATCCATGCCAGAATAAAAACAGACTCAAGGCTTCAGGACCACGTGAAATCCCCTTATAATCCCTCTGCGAGGACAAGGATTGGAGGTGCAGGAAACTGTCACCCTGCAAATGTGTCAGTGGGTTAAGTTTTGTCTGCTCTTCACTCTCTCTGGATGGTTTGTTCTTGGTGTCAGACTCTATTTCTTTCTCTTGTCCATAGGCAAGGAAAAGTTGGCAGGGGAAAGGCAGTGTCCTCAGTTACCAGTGTCTGAAATCAGGCTAGTGTGTTAAGACAGAGGCAGGCAGGTTTAAAATAACCTCTTAAAGAATGTCTTATCTTACAGACTCTCTCTTCTGAAGTCTGCCTCTGCGAACATCATTGTAAACGTAGTATTTAGGGACATGTAATTCAGGATTGAAGCAAATAAACATAAGTAAATAATATAATGTCTAGTTGTATAATAAAACCCTCAAAATAATTCACACAAATCTGAGAAATATTTACACAGTACAGTCAGGTTTATTATAGTTAACTAAAACTAATATGATTAAACTAAAGCAGGGGATAAGCAGAAAGAAAAGATGAGTAAAATAATTTTTAACTCAAAATATATGTTAACTGATCTTAAATCATAATTTTTTTTTGTATAAATAATAATACTACCATAGTTAGTTGATAACCAACACAATCTCATAGCAATTCATAAAGTTTTAATTTAGTGGCTAATTCATATTAATTTGTACCATCTCATCCATATTTCCTTTTAGTACATTTTGCTCATTTTTGTGTCATGCCTCCTTTTAAAAATCACAAAATTACAAATTAGCCACTTTTCTGACAATACATTAAGTCATTACATGAAATTAGGTAAAAATAACTGTATAGGGTTGCAGAAATAATGCTAAAACATTTTTTTAGCTGTATACAAATTGCATAAACACTTATTTTAAACACATTACACATTTTATTCAGTTGCATTCAATTTAACATTTTAACAAAATTGTAAAATAATTTAATATTTTTTACATATTAACAAAATACTAAACAACATTGTCGTAATTCTTATATTAAATGGCATTTCTTATTTTCTTTAATTAAAAAAAAACTAAATTAATTGTACATTTAAAATATGGTGGTTATTATCAGTATTTTATTAAGGGGTGTGAATACTTTCAGGCTTCGCTGTATTTCTGTATCTACTTTTTTAACAATATTGTTTTCTTTGCTCTCTAAATCCACTTGGGGATACTCAACCCTCTAGAGATTGTTCAGAGCCACTGATGTGATCCAAGTCCTGTGAAGAGACGATGCCAACCATAGAGGACTTCAAGAGGTCTCCATAACAGAGCATAATTAGTAAAGTTGTTCCTTGCCACAGGCTTGCTTGGTTTGGGACTTTCAGCAGTGAAAAATTAAACCACCGAACTGAACTGAACTGAACTTAAAATCTAAACTGACACAATTTCAGTTTAATTTCAATATCAATTCAATAGAACTTCTATGTTAAGCTGCTTTGACACAAATCTACATTGTAAGAGCACTATAGTAATAAATAAGAATTGACTTCAATTGAATATAATAGATTATATAAACCAAATCAGAGTTTATATTAAAGTGACAGTTCACTCAAAAAAAGTTGACTAATTTCTTGACCCTTTTACTCACCCAAATTTAAAAGAGTTTCTTTTTAGGAGTATCTTACTGACATCCATAGCAAAGAAAATATACTATGGAAGTCAATATCTACTTCTTTTGTGTTTAACAGAAGAAAGAAACTCAAGCATGTTAGTATTCATTTTTGGGTGAACTGTCTCTTTAAATAGAGTCAATCTTGCCAGTTGTGAACTGGAAGCGTCCTAAGCAGCACATTAATAATGAACTCTGCCTTGAAATGCGTGGCTTTCTAGCACTGTGCTTCCTGCAGTGTTCGACAGTCTGTCTTTACGACGTGACAAATTCATTATCATTGTTGCTGGTTGAAAGCACATTCAGTAGCATGTGTGGTCATCGCTGCTTCCGTGCCTTTCCATCTCTGGTCTTTCTGGAGCTGGCAGGGCCTCCACTCCATTACACGCTAAGTGAGAAATGGCTGACATTCGTATTCCTTTGATGCTGACCCAGACATAAGTACGCCACTCGCTAAAAAAAAAAACAGCGGCTCAACCTGAAGCTCGCGGCTTGTCCAAGAAAGCTCACAAGAGCTAGCCGGTAAATAGATCCAGTGAGCGAATGGTAACAGAGACAGACAGCTCATGGTCCTCTTCTATTCTTCCTCTTGAGCCGTCCTATGAGCGAGTACAATGACCACCGTAATCTTTGTTCAAACTGTCTCTCGAACCGGGCCCAGCAGAAATGTGAACTGATGACCCAAACGCTGAGCGCATGAGTGAACATTGGGAAGAGGCTTTCTTATTCCCATATCTGCTACAATGAGAGCGGAGCCATGAGCGCTTATTTTCCTAATTTTTTGTATTTTATAACTTTTAGATATATGATTTAACTGAGCAAGGAAATTTTCACAGCATGTCTGATAATACTTTTTCTTCTGGAAAAAGTCCTATTTGTTTTATTTCAGCTAGAAAAAAAAAGTTGTTTTAATTTATAAAAGCAATTTTAAGGTCAAAATTATTAGTCCCTTTCAGCAAATGTTTTTTCGATAATCTACAGAACAAATCATGCTATTGTGCATGTGTTGTGAGAAAATGCAGCTTGTTTTCTTAATTTGTTTGCATCTTTTGTAAATGCATGTGTTTTCATAAATTGAAGCATGTTAAGCTCTCTCGGGCCACAGGACTGTGATGCACAGTTAAGTAATGCCAACGATTAAAGACTTACAATAAAGTCATGTTAGCCAATCTGAAAGGAGAAACAATGCAACACACTGTCATCATGGTGCAAAATCTGTGGTATTGTGGCCACACGACCAAACTGTTACCAGAGTTTTTGAAAATCTTTTTTGCATAAACCTTTGGTGTTAGTTACCTGACACTGCGTTTTTGTGTGGACGAATGGCTAAACAGTATAAACAGTATCTTTTTTTGATAAATTGGTCAGAATATTTGAAAAAGGACTGACTCATTGACTGTGACAACAATCATACAGAGCATAAATAATTATTTCTATTGAATTAATTCTCTTTATTTACAATGTTGCTTTCAAGCAGTCTCCAGCTGGACCTAGGTCCAAGTGCCTGCCGCAAGAACTTTATTCAAAAGCTGATGTGTTACAACAATAAAAATAAAATGTAAAATGTAAAATTTTTCTTAAAATAAAGCATCAATTGGGGTCTTAAAATCTCAAATCTGGTTTTCATTTATTGTGTGAAACTAACACTTATGGGAAACGAAAATATGAAACCTGACAGTAAATTGACCTGTAAAGTAACACTTCTAAAAAAACAGAAAACATATTGGCATCTTCATTTTAAAAGTATTTCAGAAGTTTTTAAGTAAATTTATAATAACAATATTTGATTATCTGCAATAACCTCCATTCTAAATAGCTATATCGTTAAATATATCGTAACCCTGAAATAAAAAGAATTTCGGTTATATCACTCACCCGTATTATAACCTTCATCCATTGCATAAAGTTTTGGGATGGGACGCTGACTTACCCCTTTTTCAATAGTGTTAGTCTGGCACAGGGTTCCTTCTGCGGCAGGGATACTGTTGGTGACACAGCGGTTACTTTTGCTAAGGCACCAGAGCTCTCTACACACTTCCTAGGAAAGAAGGCAAAAGCAAGTTGATCAGAATATAGAAATTCCCAAGAGAGACCAGAACAAGTGGACACAAGACCAGCAGAATGTGGTGGGCAGGCTTCACAAACAGGCTTTTTAGAGATTGCATGAAAACATGTCTTCTTAATAATGTTTAATGAATTGTAGATTCAGATGTTAGGATTGATTCACATTTTAGTTCGTAAACAATTTTGGACAGCTGTTTTTTTTTCCACCAATCTAAACTTACACATGTATGTTTGATAGTCTACATTTTTTCATGGAAGTAAGTTGCTATACCTGGTTTGTAAATGAATTTGTGATAAAATAAAGTGAATTTAGGAGCAAGTTCCTTTGCAGTCTGGAATTTAATCAAAATAGGGTTTATTAGTCTTTTTTGTTCATTAGTCTTTTCTAATGTTGGGATCAGAAAAAAAGGCAGTGCAAAGATGCTGTGTTTTTTCCAACACAGGCTTAATAGATAGTATCTGCTTCAGCTAACATTTTGTGAAACCACAAAAACGCACTTTAACATACATTTGACCGCAGTTTCTAGGTGAAATAAACACTACAGGGCAATATCATGCCAACAAATTTGTTTTCTTTTCACTCTAATGATATTTACAGGGATATATTATTGACCAATAATGGATTATTTTTCCTTAGTTCTTAGCACAACACCGAAATAAATACTTATAATACTTCATTACAAAACAACTTGACAATGTTTATAATTTGTAACCAAATACATTTGCCACACCCATCTATCTTTATATGGACAAAATTTTGGGTGTGATCCGTTTGCTTGGTAGCTCAATTTGTAGTCAGGTGAAGTATGGGTTCCTTAAAAGAAATGAAAAAAAAAAAAAAAGTAAAATCAAGGTAAAAAAAAAAAAGCTTTTGTGCTCTTTTATCATATGTTTGCTTTTGAAAAGACTATTGGTTGGGTTTAGGGAAGGATATTATTCAGTGATTCAGTGGTCTAGGTGATCATTATGACAAGACCTGCCTTCTTGCTGACTTGTAGCAGAAGACTTGTATCTGAAATGTACAACAAAACATACCCTAATTTTTTTCAGATTCATAAAGATGTACAATGTGCCCTCTAGTGCATTTGTCATCTGAAATGTGCAAAGAAATGTTCCCGGAGCAATGTACTATACGTTTTGCAAAAATGTAGGCCAAGGTACATATTTCCACAGCATATTGTTGTCTTAAGAGCATTGTTATTGTTTGTTTTCTGAATAGACTATATATTTCTGCATCTTTATAGTACAAATATTCAACAACTTAATGTAAAAAAAAAAAAAATCAAGAGAATTTTAGTTCATGAAACAACGGTTATATAGGTTATATAGTAACAGGTAAATTATTCGCATAAAACATTCAGCAATGTGGAAAATCATCAGATAAAGGTTTGTCAAATTTTTTTTACCTTTTTTGTTGGTTTTAAACATATAACATTTTTAAACAAATTAAACATAGAGTAAGTACAGTACATATTGCAAATTGTGTTTTTGACCCTGAACCACTAATCTAAGCCAAATTGTAAGTGGTTTTATTTTAGACCTTCCAGGGTGGATTTGGCAAAAAGTTGCATAATATGTTTTTGCTCCTTTGTGTTTCTTGTAATATTCATAAATATATCCGAGATCTCAGCCATGCATATGGTGTCCGAGTACAATGCAGCTAAAAGTTAGATAAACTTAGATGAGAATATGTTCAGCTAACAGTATGTTCATTAAATGACAACTTTGTCTGTACCACACCATGCTATATTGAAATGATTAAATAAGACTAAAATAAAGTATAGAATCTCTATTTTGTCAAAGATAGATGAACCTCTGCTTCATCCCCGGCTTATTCCTGCTGCTCCAATCACCAGTCTCCCTCGTTCCCTCAACTCCAATCATCGCTCTCATTTCCCAGCCACTTCTCATCACACCTGTGTACTCTCACCTGAGTTCTAGTCAAACAAACCTCCACCAGTAATCACAGTCCCCTAAGCCTCCTCGATTCCAGTCATTCAGTGGCTGAAATTGATATTACATGGTTCACCTCACCTACTCCCTGGCCTTTCTCCTATGGACGTTACTCCTAAACCTGTGGATTCACAAGCTGTGATTAAGGGAAGTGACTTTAAACTATGGTGGTTGCATTGATCCTTGTTTATATTGTGAACTAGTTACAAGTCTGCTCTCCATCCAAAAATATCACTTACCTGCTTATCTTACTGAACTTTCCACATTGTTTTGAATAAATTGATGAAAAGAGATAACCCCCATGTATTCCTTGTGTGACTGGACAGGATTCCAGCCCAGAAGACAAACACACATAGCAAGGGAAGCTAACGCTATGCTAACATGAAGTACATCGGACCTGTTCGCTGGAATGGTACATTCCACGAGATCGACACTAGCTTCCGCTCCCATGAGCGTCACTACAGCTCCAGTGGTCATTACGAGTACAGCCCTTGCTCGCCCCATGAGCTACTCAGGCGATCCTAATGCCCTATTCACACGGGTCTTCAGCTTCAACGCTTGATAGAGGGCCTGTCTGAAGTTTAGGCTGACGCAATCATCATAGCAGCATTAGCCAATGAAATTAGTTAGCTATAGGCCACAGTCTGAGCCGCTGTATTTCTATACAGCGATCGGATTGGCTGACGCTTCCATTGCCGCTTGAAAAGTTGAGCAAGTGCCACCGAAGCGGCACCGACGGATCCACAATGCAGTTTGGCAATGCCTGACGTCACCCATTTAAAGTGAAGCATTGACAAAGGAAGCGTTGACGCTGATGCCCCGTGTGAATGGGGCGCAGTACCTGCAATGACTTTGTACTGCAGTGCTCACTCTACACAAATGCTACTACTAACCAGTTTCCAAATGAAATTTCCGAAGTGACTACGACGCAATCATCTCTGCCTTTACTGTCGAGAATCCAACCATCTCATCTTGGCCTACCCAGTTTGGCCGCCTAGCCTAATGGTGAGTAAAGTCACTCTAACTCCATCTGTATTCCATTTACCACATATACAAGCTCAACTAATAGTAAATTCCCGTATCATCCCCATACATGTTCTGGTGGATTCTGGAGCGGCTGGTAACTTTATCTCATCCAAGTTCCTTGCCCAACATCACATTCCTATAGTGCGAAACCCAGTATAAAATAACCACCATTCAGGACTCACCATTGGGCAATGGTAAAATTTCCAGGCAAACGAGAGAAGTCATCATTCTCAGTCATCAGTCCCCACATTATCATCGAGAAAAACTGACCCTACTCATACACTCAGAACACCAATCTCATGTCCTTCGTCTCAGAGAAAACCATCTGTTCTTGAAAGCTGAAAAATGTGAGTTTTCTAAATCTTGAAAATGTATCCCTTTGAAAGGTCTCCCTACAGCTCTAGAAACGGCTGAAGCCTTCTTTCACTACATCTTCCATAATTACAGGCTCTTCAAGGACATTGTATCAGATCGGGGTCCATAATTCATCTCCAGGGTTCTTTCGGCTCCTAAGTACCACCGTCAGCCTATCCTCCGGTTACCACCCGCAGATGAACTGTCAGACAGAGCGTAAAATCCAAAAGATTTCCTGCTACCTCCGGACGTACTGCAACCAACACCAGAATACCTGAAGCCAGTATCTATCGTGGGCTGAGTATGAGCAAAATATCCCTTCGACAATCCTCCACTGGTCTAACACCCTTTCAATGTGTTTTAGAATGCCAACCTTTCCTGTTCCCACATGGTCTGGCGAGACCTCTGAAATGCCCACGGTAGGTCACTGGTTCAGAGAGAGCGAGAACGTGTGGGACTCAGCTCATGTCCATCTCCAGCAGGCAGTACGAAGGAATACTACCAATGCCACCCGTCAATGCCTACCAAATCTCATTTACCAACCAGGAAATAAGGTATGGCTCTCCACCCGGGACATCCACCTCCATCTGCCCTGCAGAGTCCCCGCTACTTAGGACCATTCACTGTGCACTCCCAGACCCTATTTCTCCTCCTCCACAGACCCAGAATGATCACAAATGACAAAGGATAATGATTCTAATTTTGCCAACAAAAATTACAAACCAAAAATCTGTAAAATAAACAAGAAGCTTTAATGAACTATACTTCATATAATACATTTTTACTACTACTGTTCATAAGGCTCAGAATTGCAAAGGGTTTTTATGATTTCCCCCAAATTTGAACGTTAACTCACCACTGAAAAGGGGACAAATGATCATTAAACCATGGGCATATAAGTTTAAACCTTCAGGATAAATATGTTTTCTTTTATGTGCTCTGATGGAACCATGCTGTGATATGAAGGCTGAACATATGAAGATATAATGCTCTCCGTATATTACAAGTGCAACTTTGTAGAACCCTGCATTACATTTCCCATTTAAGTGCGCAAGGAGCCTTTAAAGCCTGAACTTCACAGGATTTACAGGACAGAGAGGTGCCCCCATGAAAAAGATTTATGGCAGGGAGCACCTCCACTGACCCCAGGTCAGTAAATAAGACTCAGCTGCCCAGCCTATCTAGATTAAATAAAGCGGCAAACTGCCTCTCTCAGGTTGCAGAAGCTCCACCTCTGTGGCTGGTTTTAATAAGGTTTCCTGCTCGCCCATTCAAAATGCTCATGCTGAGAGGGTCAGGAGGGCATGCAGGCTTGACCAGCAGAGTTTAACCGCTGACTGGCTTAAGCTGAGAGTGCAGGGCAGATAAAACTTTACTAAGACCAAAGTAATTACTGCAACAAACACTTTCTAAATTCCTACTGCAATTTTAGATTTATATTACATGAATGAATTATGTAGCATATTCTATACGCCAAGAGAAAGTACAAACAATAACATCCATCCATCCATCCGTTCATCTGCCTCTCCATTCATCCATCCATCCATCCATCCATCCATCCATCCATCCACCTCCTCATTCATCCATCCATCCACCCATCCATTTTCTATCTGTTCAGTTGTCTCTCCATCCGTCCATCCA